GGTTTTAGAGGAGGAAAGCAAATGATTGTGGCAACGATCTCAAGCCCCTGTCATGAAAGCCATCGAAGCGGAACAAAAATTGTCAAGTGAAATATTACAGCCACAATGCTATTTTTTTTCCTTGATGTAAAATGACATTAAACAGAGACTCTAAAGCCTTAATAGATTGGATGCATATGAGAACTCAAAAGGACATGGGTGAGTATGGGAAGCACCTAATTATGTGAAACTGATTGAAAAATAATCTGTTGCGGTTTTGTTCCCTCAACATTATGGACAGCTTGAGACAAAATGTGTGTTCCATTGGCATTGGACCTTCGTAGACTCTCTGCCTTTATCACCGGGTTCTACTGGATGCTTGCTTGAAAGGGCAGAGCTAAAACGATGTCCCCTTCCTAACATCAAGTTCTCATTGCCAACACGGGCAATACATCTATCGTCTGCTTCACCAACAAAGACTGTTTCCTTTCCTTCTGGTTAAAGTCTGACACTTTGATACAAAGGTATTGCATACACATCCAGCCAATTTCACAGGTGCAACTGAAGTGTCTGATCCTGACGAAGACCTAATGGTTAAAAATGCTACACAATATAACTATATTTTTCTTTCTTTCCTATAAAATCTGACACTTGCCATGTGCCTGCAACATGCTCATCTTGACATGGACTGGCAGTCAGGGCCGGTTCCAGGCATAAACGGCATAAGTGGTTGCTTAGGGTCCCCTGAGTTCCTTTCAGTTGGGGTCTCAACTTACTATTGAGAGTAAGAATCGTAGAATATACCAGGTGCAATTTCGAAATGTGGTTGTGCATCGGCAGTCACTGACAGTCACTCAATTAGCCATGTCAGCTAACCATTTTTTGATTGGTAGTTAGTCTAGCCAGCTATCTAAACTTGTGATAATCATGGCCGAATACCAACCGGCATGCAGGGCCAGGGGGCTCCCATTGATTTTGTTAGTCATTCTCACTCAGGTATAATATTAACATGGCATAAGTCATACAAAATGTGTAGAATTGCAGGAAATGAGCTTCAAAACGGCAAACATATCTCTCAACCCCATGGCATAATTAGTAGAATTGCATGAAATGTGTTATAAAATTGAAACGTTTTCTCTCCACCCCATAGACATATTTGTAGAATTACAGAAAACTTTCTTTAAAACTGCAACATTTTCTCTACGCCCATGGCAAAATGTGTAGAATTGCAGGAAATGAACTATAAAGCTTAAATGTTTCTCTCCACCATCAAGAGGGGGGCCACTATAATGTTTTTCCGTGATGTGGAGGGCCCTCCAATCAAATCTTGTTTAGAGCCCCCAAAAGTCTAGAGCCAGCCCTGCTGGCAGTTCATGAGAACACTTGCTTATAAAGTCCGATCATATTCTCTTGTCCAGCTGTTTCCATAGGTCAGTGAAATCTGCTGTGCAAGCACTACCACAGGCAGCTGGCTGAGGCACAGCTCTCACGTCCACCAGGTTACACACACACACACACACACACACACACACACACAGGGAGGCAGGCATCAAGGCCAGACACACTCGCCGCCCAGTGCATGACGACAACCTGTAAGAGCTCACTCTAGAGGCATCGCAACCCGGAGCCTGAAACAACAACGACGCGCTGGTTTCAACAAATGTAATGCTCCCGGGGAGCGAACACTCTCTGAAACGACTGTGTCGATAGAGTGTGGGGGAAGAGACTTCCAATTCCCAGATTATGTCATTTCTTTACCTCAAAAGCGAATGCTTTCGGGATAAAGATGGGGAAGTCATGTGGGTCTTGCCACATAAGTGGGATGACTTCTGCAACTGTGGCTTGCCTATCCAGGGATAACAATGCCTCCTGAGCACTGACCCTTGGGTGCTTTGCTTCAACAGTCTAGAGACGAGACTGTGAATAGGACCTTGCTCTTTGCACTTTTTTGTCATTCAAATCACAATGGAGTTTTGCAACAGGTATGTGTACAGTGAATGTGTATGGCTTCAACTGCTCATTTTCCAGGAATACACAGGACTAACCATTCTACTTTTCATACAGGTTACAAATCTCTAGTCTCTGCATTTCCATCTCCTCTCTTTCTCCGTTGCTTTATACCTATACAGTGCCTTCAGAAAGTATTCACACCCCTTGACTTTTTCCACATTTTGTTGTGTCACAGCCTAAATTTAAAATGGATTACATTGAGATGTTTTGTCACTGGCCTACACACAATACTTCATAATGTCAAAGTGGAAGTTTCAAAATGTTTACAAATTAATAAAAAATGAAAAGCTGAAATGTCTTGAGTCAGTAAGTATTCAACCCCTTTGTTATGGCAAGTCTAAATTTGTTCATGAGTAAAATGTTGCTTAAAATGTCACATAAGAAGTTGTATGGGCTCACTCTGTGTGCAATAATAGTGTTTAACATGATTTCTGAATGATTACTTAATCTCTGTACCCCACACATACAATTATCTGTAAGGTCCCTCAGCCGAGCAGTGAATTTCAAACACAGATTCAACCACAAAGACCAGGGAGGTTTTCCAATGCCTTGCAAAGAAGGGCACCTATTGGTAGATGGGTAAAAATAAAACAGCAGACATTGAATATCCCTTTGAGTATGCTGAAGTTACTAAATACACTTTGGATGGTGTTTCAATACACCCAGTCACTACAAAGATACAGGCGTACTTCCAAAGTCAGTTGCCGGAGAGGAAGGAAACCACTCAGTGATTTCACCATGAGGCCAATGGTGACTCTAAAACTGTTACAGAGTTTAATGGCTGCGATAGGAGAAAACTGAGGATGGATCAACAACATTGTAGTTACTCCACAATACTAACCTAATTGACAGAGTGAAAAGAAGGAAGCCTGTACAGAATACAAATATTCAAAAACATGCATCCTTTTTGCAACTAGGCACTAAAGTAATACTGCAAAAAAATGGCAAGACTTGAAAATGATTGTCTAGGAACGATCAACAACCAATTTGACAGAGCTTGAAGAATTTTGAAAGGAATTATGGGCAAATGTTGCACAATCCAGGTGTGGAAAGCTCTTAGAGACTTACCCAAAAAGTTTCACAGCTGTAATCGCTGCCAAAGGTGCTTCTACAAAGTATTGACTCAGTGGTGTGAATACCTATGTAAATGAGATACATTTGGAAAGATTTCTAAAAACATGTTTTCACTTTGTCATTATGGGTTATTGTGTGTAGAAAAATAATAATAATAAAAGTAATCGATTTTGAATTCAGGCTGCAACAACAAAATGTGGAATAAGTCAAGGGGTATGAATACTTTCTGAAGGCACCGTATACAGTATGCCATTTAGCAGACACTTTTCTCCATCGTGAAATGTTCGCATGGGTGGCCCCAGCGAGAATTCAATCTACAATCCTGGCAATGCAAGTGCCAACCTCTACCAACTGAGCTTGACAGGACTACTCTCCCATCTCTCCCACAGGACGACAATACACAACACAATATTGTGTTGCTGCCAGGGTCCCTCACCTCAAACTGCAACAAGGCTACACTGGAGCTTTCCATACCGACATTTTATACCTTTGAACATTTTTGCTTTAGTTAAATTCATTTTCTTCACCAAAAAACAGATAAAGTCATGCATCGAAAATATGAAATGATATCTGATTTGGTTGATTTGGATATCTGGTTGAGATCTTATAAGGCCTGTGGAGTACACAGCCATGTGAATGACTGCAGAGATGGAGATGTTTGGTGGTGGGGCCAATAGCAGATGTTCATGACTCAGGGATGAATCCTAATTTGTAATGGGTGCTTGAGGTTCACGCAAATCTCCCAATGACAGTGAAGCCATTTGCTTGTGTGCATGTGAGTGTGTGTTTGTATGTGTGTGTGTGTGTGTGCGTGTGCGTGTAAATCCGCTAAAACAGAGGAGAGGTAAAGAGTGGCAGAGTTTGGGTGGGGGGTAATGGAGGGAATGGGGAAGACAGGGGAGAGTAGGGGGGATTGGTACATTAAATCCAAAACAAGGCATGGCCCCACGTAGAACAGACCAGTAGGGCCAGGGGAATCACTATACAGAGGGCCGCCCCACATCGCCACAGTCTGGCTCTGTTTACCCATTCACAGGGAGAGCACTTCCAGTCAGTGAGAGGCCCCTTTCCAGATGGTGTGTGTGTGTGTGTGTGTGTGTGTGTGTGTGTGTGTGTGTGTGTGTGTGTGTGTGTGTGTGTGTGTGTGTGTGTGTGTGCGTGCGTGCGTGCGTGCGTGCGTGCGTGCGTGCGTGCGTGCGTGCGTGCGTGCGTGCGTGCGTGCGTGCGTGCGTGCGTGCGTGCGTGCGTGCGTGCGTGCGTGCGTGCGTGCGTGCGTGCGTGTGTGGACGTGTGGACGTGTGGACGTGTTTAACTATACTTGTGGGGGACCAGAAGTCCCCACAAGAATAGTAAACAAACAAATATTTGACCAACTGGGGACATATTGTTGGTCCCCACAAGGTCAAATGCTATTTCTAGGGGGTTTAGGGTTATGGTAAGAATTAGTGTTAGGGTCCCTACAAGGTTAGTTGTACAAGACTGTGTGTGAGTGTGAATGTGTGTGAGTGTGTGTGAGTGTGTGTGAGTGTGTGTGTGTGTGTGTGTGTGTGTGTGTGTGTGTGTGTGTGTGTGTGTGTGTGTGTGTGTGTGTGTGTGTGTGTGTGTGTGTGTGTGTGTGAATGTGTGTGTACGTGTGTGTGTGTCACCACACAATGACTTACAAATGTTTTTGCTCCAATTGTACACTATGAGAGTACAGCATACTCAGCGGTAGCCAGTGGAACACCAAGATTGAAAAGATAGATAGCGATGACAGACAGAAATAATCTTTGAGAACAACATAGACACAAAAAGCTGAAAACCCTGTGATGCCATTATTCATTTAGATTTTGAGTCATTACAACTTTATATTGAAATCTGCAAAAACTATTCTGCCGTTAATACTCATTTCACATCGTCATAACATTGCTTTCCTTCTGTAAGTTGACTCCTCAGAGTCAGCACAGAGGAGGGTCATCGCCGGTCCTATGTTGAACAGAGCTCCAGTCTGAAATGGGGAGCAGAGCCATGTTCTTGGTCTCAATTGGACTCCCTTTTAAAATAAAGGTAAAATAAAATCAGTTAAATGAACTCTGAACCACCGTATCGGTAACAGAAGAAACACTGTTTTGGTCCATTAACCGCTTGCCCGATGTGAACTTATGATAAGGAACATTGTCCCAAGAAAAAGCAGAACAGTGAGTCTGTCACGCCCTGGCTCTGGGGACACTGTTATGTTGAGCCAGGGTGTGTATTCTATGTTTGTATTTCTATGTTGGCCTGAGTGACTCCCAATCAGAGGCAACGAGTGTCAGCTGGTTGTCTCTGATTGGGAGCCATATTTAACTGTCTGTCTTTCACTTTGTGTTTGTGGTTTCTTGTTCGTGTTGGTTTGTGTTTAAACCATAGACGTCACGTTTTTCGTTTGTTGTTTTGATCGTGTGATCATTAAATAAATATAAATATGTTCACCTGCAACGCTGCGCCTTGGTCTCTCCCTGACGATCGTGACAGAAGAAACCACCAAAACCGGACCAAGCAGCGTGTCCAGGAGCCATCGCTAGCAGATCTCCGTGGCAACCTCGACTGGGTCAAGCCTTGTGAGGAGCAGAGAGGGTGGACTTGGGAACAGTTGAGGAAGAGCTTCGACTGGGTCAAGCCCATTGAGGAGCTGAATAGCGGGAGTTGGAGACAGAGGAGCGAGAGTTGGGCGAAAACGATAGAGGCCTGGCCCACGGGGAGGAGAGACCCCCAGAAAATTTTTAGGGGGGGCTCACGACGTCGGGGCAGCAGAAGGCCGCTATAGAGCGGTCCAGCGGGTTGGCAGAGGAGGCCGCCAGGTTACGGGGGCCACTGGTCGAAGAGGGGATGGAAGGTGGAGAGGCACGGCGAGAGGTACTGGGGTGTGTTACCAGTCCGGTCCGACCCGTTCCAGATCCCGGTGTAGGGCCAGTGGTGTGTGTCCCCAGTACGGTCCGGTCTGTTCCTGCTCCCCGCACCAAGTCTGTGGTGCGTTTCGTCAGCCCTGTCCGGCCCGTTCCTGCTCTCCGCACCAAGTCTGTGGTGCGCGTCGCCAGCCCAGTCCGGCCCATTCCTGCTCCCCGCACCAAGTCTGTGGTGCGTCTCGTCAGCCCGGCTCGGCCCGTTCCTGCTCCCCGCACCAAGTCAGTGGTGCGCTTCGTCAGCCCGGCTCGGCCCATTCCTGCTCCCCGCACCAAGTCTGTGGTGCGTTTCGTCAGCCCGGCTCGGCCCATTCCTGCTCCCCGCACCAAGTCTGTGGTGCGTTTCGTCAGCCCTGTCCGGCCCGTTCCTGCTCTCCGCACCAAGTCTGTGGTGCGCGTCGCCAGCCCAGTCCGGCCCATTCCTACTCCCCGCACCAAGTCTGTGGTGCGTTTCGTCAGCCCGGCTCGGCCCATTCCTGCTCCCCGCACCAAGTCTGTGGTGCGTTTCGTCAGCCCTGTCCGGCCCGTTCCTGCTCTCCGCACCAAGTCTGTGGTGCGCGTCGCCAGCCCAGTCCGGCCCATTCCTGCTCCCCGCACCAAGTCTGTGGTGCGTTTCGTCAGCCCTGTCCGGCCCGTTCCTGCTCTCCGCACCAAGTCTGTGGTGCGCGTCGCCAGCCCAGTCCGGCCCATTCCTGCTCCCCGCACCAAGTCTGTGGTGCGTTTCGTCAGCCCTGTCCGGCCCGCTCCTGCTCCCCACACCAAGCCAGTGGTGTGCGTCGTCAGTCCAGCACGGCCCGTGCCTGTTCCCCACACCAAGCCAGTGGTGTGCGTCGTCGGTCCGGCACGGCCCGTGCCTGTTCCACTGGTGCCTGGTCCGGCACCGGTCAGATGCGTTACGCCGGAGCTAGAGCAATCCGCTCCATCAGTGTGCAGTCCAGCTCCGGCCAGCGGGGCCAGACCGGACCAGGGGTACTTTGGGGGGTTGGAGAGGGAGTGGGGGTCAGGCCCGGAGCCGGATCCGCCGCCAAGGCGGAGTGCCCACCCGGTCCCTCCCCTGTGGTATTTAGTTGGCGCGGTCGGAGTCCGCGCCTTTAGGGGGGGGTACTGTCACGCCCTGGCTCTGGGGACACTGTTATGTTGAGCCAGGGTGTGTATTCTATGTTTGTATTTCTATGTTGGCCTGAGTGACTCCCAATCAGAGGCAACGAGTGTCAGCTGGTTGTCTCTGATTGGGAGCCATATTTAACTGTCTGTCTTTCACTTTGTGTTTGTGGTTTCTTGTTCGTGTTGGTTTGTGTTTAAACCATAGACGTCACGTTTTTCGTTTGTTGTTTTGATCGTGTGATCATTAAATAAATATAAATATGTTCACCTGCAACGCTGCGCCTTGGTCTCTCCCTGACGATCGTGACAGAGTCCTACCAGGAGGGAGGACAAGTAAGTCAAATCTGGTGACCATCCTTATCTTTTGTCTTCATTACACCACAGTCAGATTCAATAAACAAAACAAACCACAAAAACAAAATGCTCAGCCTAGAATACAGTGCATGAGTGGGTGAAGATCAGCCATTGTTTTTCACCCTGTGATTTTGTGTCATACAGTACATAGCAGGGAGTTTAGGATCAAAGAATGTATGAGGTACACAAGGTGACCCCTGTTTTGACTGCAGTGCCCTTGTGGCATTTCTACCTCCTGCTCACCAACTCTCTGAGTTTAAAAGGCAGACAGACAGATAGACAGACGAACGGACGGTAGGACGGACGAACAGACACAGGTACAGATGTAGGATCTTAATTTGACACAGCAAAATAATCCTGCAGCAACAGAATTTGAACGTTTAGTCCATAATGTTGCTTGATCAGTGGTTAGGCAATTAGCTGGCCAAAAGTAGGCTACATGAAAAGTGCAATACTCTTAATATAACCATGTGTTAGTGTGGGTTTTCAGTTAATTTATGTAAATCACAAAGCTCATCTGCATTTACAGGGAAATTGTCAGCAACAAAAGTGATGAAATGAAGATCCTACATCTGTACAGTACTCTACTCACCCTCTTTGCAGTCGTCTCCCAGGAAGCCGGGGCAGCACCTCCACTCCAATGCTGTCACCTGGCGATACGTCAACCTGTACGTGGGCCGGACCAGGGTCCTGTAACTGAGAGCAGAGTATAGTCACTGACGGGCATCATTGTGGCACTGGGGCAGGTGTTCACTTCATGGACATCATTAGAGGTCTTAACACTGATGTCAGTAACATTAGGACAAACCTTCACAGACGTCATTCAAATCCTTTACACTGACCTCTTTACACTGGGAATAACTCTAAATCAAAAGATGTTTAACCCATCTATAACATAGGGATAAAATAACAATGTTGATCCAAGCTTAACACTATGACCGAATACCCAGAGTCCATTAAAGTAGTCTTTCTGGATGGATCCCAGAGACATAAAACAATGGAATGCAACCACACAGTTACAAACGGCTATGGTCTTACATCAGTGTCTTTTCTGTGAGCAATGGCAGACCTGGGAATACTGGAATGGGAAAAATCATATTCATATGCCTTAATGGTGGATGACTTGCTGCTCTGTGTGGTGGTCTAGGGATTAAATCTGCCTTCTTCGACCAACAAACAACTTAACAAAGAGCATTTCCATGGGGGTGAATTATCAGTCATTAGACTGTCTGTAGTCAAAGCTGGATGACATAAAGGACCCTTTAGGCAAAGAATATAAACACATCATAATTATGACCCCTGTGCAACATCTGGCCAGACTCTTGGCCAGCTGAACTGAAACCAGAATCAATGAGCTGATATTTTCCCTCAAGATGGCTTTGTCTTCACGAGATATAGAATTATGATTCTGAAGACACCAAAATGTAGTGGCACTTGACCCATAGCTATCCTGAAGGCGACCAAGGGAAACCTGAAAATGGTAGCCCTTCCCCCAAAGCTTTTGGCTCAGCAAGATGGTTTGTTACCTTATAGGCTACTGCAACCCATTAGGATTTATATCTAGGTTGTTGACATGAGCAGATATTCCCTAAACTCAATATGGGTCCCAGCGCAACACTGAAATCATAACCCCTCATGTCTGAAGTTGTATTTGCCGCTGCATGACACTCGCACTGCATGAAGGGCCTGTGGGGGTGAGTGAGTGAACTGTGCCATTCATACCTGATGAGGTTAGAACAGGGTCCTGGCCACCGGCAACTCTGAAACACTCGCTTTACCAGCGTCTCCGTCCCGTTGTGCACCTGGCATGACACAATCTTTGACACTGTGTACTGACACCAGTTCCTACCAAAGGAGACCACAGGGAGGCAGAGTTTTAGTGTGTGTGTGTCTGGGAGATGGGGTTCATAACAAAAGGCAGCCAACAACTATTTTAATAAAGCACTAAAGAAATATATATATAATAATTTTCATCATCATTTAATATTGAGGAAAACTCTCTGGGAGGACTTATGTCAATTAAGAAGTCTGGAATATCAGGCCAAATCTAGTCTCAAATCAAATCAAGACAATAAATAAATGTGTTCATAGTGTCATAAACTAGCACTGAGAGACAATTCATATGTTAGATTGGCAGCAATGGGCAATTTTTAAGTAGTCTGCTCCATTAATCTATTCCAAACCAAACCAGAGCCACATCTTAATGCTCTGTTTCATTATTGCCAGTATTGCTTTTCATTTCGTTATTCATAGCACATATAAGAAATTAATTGCAACAGTTATATACTTTTGGCTACTTCATTCAGAATAAAGTCAATGCACATTGTATTGCTCAAGCATACACAAGTCCAACTTCCTGAACAGGATGATAACTATAAAATATATTTCTACAGATCAGTATATGTTTAACCTTGAACAACAACTTCTCTGATGAATACATGAGTGACTTCATTAGGTTTTCATTTAGCCTACTTATTTACTTGAGGTCCACTTACCTGCGAACCGCGTTGGTGCCTGCAAGGGGTCCAGCAGTGTGCTCAGTGTGGATGCGTTGAAATGTCATACCTGGAAACTGATAGACAAACCCGGTCTCTTGTGACAGACTGGGTGAAAACATCCAAATACAAAGAAAGCTCAAAATTATTGAAGCTGTCATTGTCCGCAAATGTAGGGTTCCTTTCGAGTGAGAGTTTGAACACTACCTGTATTGTGAAGTGCATAAAGTTTGGAGACGCGCGTCTTGGGAAGGAATAGCCGCAGGGCACGAATATATCGTCCTAATGTATCGTTAAAGTAAACGAATTCCATATAAATCTGCAAAGTCGTGAGACATTCTGTACTGTTCTCCCGGTCCCCGCCTTTGTCGTGTTGATAGGCTTTTGCCTTCCAACTCTGGAGGGATTGTCTGACTGTCTGCAGCAGCGTGCGCGCTATAACGCACTGGAGTTTGGGGAGCTCGACGCAGCAGTTTTTGTGCAGAGCGTATTACCGCTCAGTAATGTGGAACGGATAAAGTTCACGACCATCAACAGAATAGATAGTGGTAGGCTAGCTATTAGTTTTACATATATGGAATAGGAAGCCATATCAAACCTTATCCATACATCATTTACGAGGCACAAACAAACCATTTAATGAAACCTAAGAAGTGCCTGAATTCAAATCAAATAGTGATGCAAATCATATCGGTTTAATTGATCAAAAAGTGTAAAAAGTAGCAATAAATCTGAAGGAAAGAACTAGTATTCATCAATAGCTCTTTGGCTCTGAGATGTCACCAGGAGAGCTGGTAGGCTACATGGTAGTTACATAGGCAGGTAGGGGCCTAGAGTAAGAGTGCATTTACACATTGTTACATAGTACTCACAACCAGTATAATCTCCCGTGGGCAGATTCTGCGTGAACTCGAGATTTTACTTATGGGTTACAGAGATTACAACTAGTATAATTGTCCCCCACAATGGGACTGTGGATCTGTCTCCATCCATTAGTAGGCTACGTTACGGGATATCGCAGACAGCACTGGCCCGATTTTGATGAAACTTGGGTGAATGATGCGTCTTGCCATAGAGATCCGGCATTTACAAAATTACACTGATTGGCCCAAAGCGGGAGCTATAATAATTAACTGAAATGTGTTAGTCAAAGGTGATATCTCAATTGGCCCAAGGGGGGCGCTTCATTATTCGTGGGGAATGACATGTTTACATTTACATTTTTACATTTACATTTTAGTCATTTAGCAGACGCTCTTATCCAGAGCGACTTACAGTTAGTGAGTGCATTCATTATTTTTTATATATATATATTGTAATGACCTGACTAGATCATAAAAGAACAACTGTCCAGACAGAGGATTGAGTTTACGAATGGACGGTTTATTAAACCAACTTTACACAGGCTACTGTTTGGCCGTAGCCCACGCCAAATAAATGAAAGATAACCCACAAGCCAATCGTGACCTTCTCTTGTGAAGCCCAGATGTAAAGAGAGAGAACAAAGGCTAAACCTGGTCTTAACTTCCAATGCTCCATCCCCCTGCCCAACCCCCCTCCACGCCACTCCGCCAACCGCCAGGATGCCCGGCATCAGAACATTCCAGGCATTCCCGTGATTGGCAGATAGCAGGTTGATTGACATGTCGGACCCCGCGAACACTAGGTACTGGTAGGTACAACACAACCATCTACTAGCCTAACACATAACACACAGCTGTCTGTGCGGGTCGCTACACAGCCCCCCCACCACAAAGTCCCTCGTCCCCGAGGGAACAAACAAAGTCTCTGAAGCGACCCGGAGGTCTCCTTTGCCTGTGTGGCTGTGATGGCCGCAGAGTGCCCCTCTGAGAACCAGGGGATGAAGGCAAGGACATGGGGGACAAGGAAGCGGGAACGGGTAATACAGTCCGTGGCTCTGGGGAACCACGCGGTGACACAGGGGGAGTGGGCTGTCTGGAGCCTTGTCTGCGGCACCTGGGGGTGGGTGCCTGGAGAATGTCATTGCCAGAGAGGGGAATTGTGGGGGTTCCTGGGGTTTGGGGAGAAGAGGCCCCTCTATATGGGGCTAACCTGTCCCGGTGCAGTGTCACCTTTCTCCCCCTGGGAGGAAGCTGCACCCGGTAAACAACCTCCCCTACCCTCTCCAGGACACTGCAGGGTCCCACCCAGTGACTGTCCAACTTGGGGCATCTGCCCTTTTTCCTTAGCGGGCTGTAGACCCAGACCAGCTCCCCAGCCACAAAGTGCCTTCCCCGGGTGTGCACGTCATAGTTCCTCTTCTGCCTCACACCTGCATTCAGCAGCTGCTCTCTGGCGAAGGTGTGGGCTGTCTCCAGGCGGTCCTGGAGTCTCCGGGCATACTCCGGCCCCGGGGAAACATGAGGGCTATCCAGGGGCCGACCAAACGCCATCTCCGCAGGGGTACGGATCTCTCTCCCCAGCATGAGGAGGGCAGGCGTGCAGGAGGTGGAGTCTTGGACAGCGGAGCGGCATGCCATGAGGACCATAGGCAGGTGCTTGTCCCAGTCCCGCTGGTGTTTGGAAGAGACGATGGCCAGCTGCTGTCCAAGCGTTTTGTTGAAGCGCTCCACAAGGCCATCACTTTGAGGATGGAGAGGAGTAGTGCGGGTCTTGTGCATACCCAGCCTCTCACACATGGTGGCGAACACACGGGACTCAAAGTTTCTGCCTTGGTCGCTGTGGATGGACTCTGCAGCTCCAAACCTGCTGAACATCCCCGCTGTCAGGGCGTCGACGATGGTCTCTGCCTCCTGGTCAGGCAGAGCATAGGCCTCGGGCCATTTTGTGAAATAGTCCATGGCCGTGAGCACCCAGCGGTTTCCACTGTCTGTGGTGGGGAACGGCCCAACTACATCCACTCCCACCCTCTCCATGGGAGCCCCCACTGGGAACTGTTGGAGCTGAGCATGAGAGCGGCCTGGGGGGCCCTTTCTCGCTGTGCAGTTGTCACAGCGGCGGCAAAAGTCTTCCACATCCCTCTTGTGCTGCCCCCAGTAAAAGCCCTGACGGAGGCGGCGCAGTGTTTTTGTGACCCCAAAGTGTCCAGTCCCCACCCCCCCATGAGTACTCTGGAGCACAGCCTCCCGCAATGCTTTTGGGACCACCACCTGCCACCTTTCCTCCCCCGTAGCCGACTCCTTCCATGCCCGCTGTAACACGCCATCAGCCAGCCGCAGTCGCTCAAACTTTGACCACAACCCTTTGGTCGCGAGTGAGAGCGCTGTCACCTCTTCCCATGGTGGCCTCACCTGCACCTCTACCCACTGTAGCACTGGCTGTAGGTCTGTGTCCCGTCCCTGCTGCTGCCCCCATTCAGCCACGTCGACAGTCTGCAGCTCACAGCAGACAGGCCCGCTCGCCCGACACACTGTGGCACAGACCCCCTCCTCTGCACACAGCTCTCTCTCCCGTCCCTCTCTCCGTTCACAGTGGCGGCAGCCGTCTGCAGTACAGGGCCGACAGGACATGGCGTCGGCGTTGGAGTGGCGTGCCCCTGCCCTGTGCACCACCGTGAAGTCATACGGCTGAAGCTCCTCCAACCAGCGTGCCACCTGCCCCTCTGGCTCTCTGAAAGACATGAGCCACTGGAGAGCAGAGTGGTCAGTCCTTACAGTAAAGGGCAGACCACCCAGGTAGTACTTGAAGTGTTTGACGGAAGCCACAACAGCCAAGAGCTCCCGCCGGGTGACACAGTAGCGGCGCTCATGTTTGTCAAATGTTTTGCTGAAGTACGCCACCGCTCTCTCCCCCTCTGGCCCCACCTGGGCCAGCACCCCACATTGCTCGCATCTGTGTCCAGGATAAAGGGCAATGTGAGGTCAGGGGGGGCGAGCACGGGGGCCTCGATCAGTGCACGTTTGAGGGTGTTGAACGCCTCCTCACACTCCACTGTCCAAGTGAAAGCCTTGTCCTTCGGCAGCAGGCGGTTCAGTGGAGCAGCAACGCTTGAGAAGCCCCGTACAAACCTCCTGTAGTACGAGGCCAGGCCCAGGAAGCTCTTCAGCTGACGCTGGTCGGTGGGGGTGGGCCAGTCTCTGACAGCCGCTACCTTGTCCTCCATGGTGCTGATCCCCTCCTTCCCCACTCGGTGGCCCAAGAAGGACACCTCTCTCCTCATGAAGTGGCACTTCTCGGGGTGGAGCTTCAGACCTGCGGCAGCCACCCTCTCCAGCACACACCGTAGCGCCCCCAGGGCTGACTGGAAGGAGCTGCCATGGGCCAGGATGTCATCGAGGTATACCAGACACTGCTGTCGGGGGATGCCATCCAGCACCCTGTCCATCAAACGCTCAAAAGTAGCTGGAGCGTTGCACAGGCCAAAGCACAGGACCTTGAACTGCCAGTGTCCTCTGTTAGTGGAGAACGCAGTTTTGGCTCTGGCCTCTGGGGAGAGGGGCACCTGCCAGTAGCCACTGCGGAGGTCTAGTGAGGAGAACCAGGAGGACCCCCTAACCAGGTCCAGCGACTCATCGATACGTGGTATGGGGTATGAGTCCTTCCTGGTTACCTCATTCAGCCGCCTGTAGTCCGCACAGAACCTCAGCTTGCCCCCCTTCTTCGGAACCATGACGACTGGCGCCGCCCAGGGGCTGTCTGAGGGCTCAATGAAGTCTGCCCGCTGCATCTCCAACACAGCCTTGTCTGCCGCCTCCTGGCGTGCCAGCGGGATACGGCGGGGACGCATCTTGATAGGTCGAGCATCACCTGTGTCGATCTCATGCTGCACCAGATGAGTCTGACCCACCTCTTCCTCACTCAGCGCAAAGCTGTCTCTGAATTCAAACAGCAACTGCCTCAACCGTTCCTGCTGCTCGGGGTCAAGACCAACACAGTTCCTCCCCCATATCTCCCTCACTGCAGACAGTGTCCTCTCCCCTCCCATCTGGGGTAGCTGGGCTGGGGGGGCGCGGCCCGGGCTCACAGAGGGCTGTGTCGTGGAGGTAGCTGGGGGAATGTAACACAACGCCGTAGGTGACAGGGGAGCTGGGGAAAAGTCACACCCAGATGTGGGGGAGGGGGGGCAGCCATGAGTCTCTGCTGCTTTAACTGTTGGAGTAAAGGGTTTGTTGGGTTGAGTGAATGTGACATTAGGGGCCATGGTGACCTCCGGCCCTCCCTGGAAGCTCAGTGTGCCCCTATTTAGGTCTAACTGGCAGCCTGTGCTCCTAAGAAAGTCCAACCCCAGGATACAAGGGTCCTGCACAGCCGCCACCCACACAGGATGACGCACAGTCCTGCCCCCTACTGTCAGAGTCATTATTCCCTTCCCTTTCATGGGTGCCAGCTCACCTGTGACTGTGCGGAGCTGCACAGTTGTAGGCTCACACTGAGTCCAACCTGGCACAATATCTGGCCTCACCAGGGTTACTGTGGACCCAGTGTCCACCAGGGCGGAGCAGGGCACCCCCTCCACAGTGACAGGGACATGACAAAAGTCCCCAACACAGGTCCGGCCCACCACAACAACAGGCTCCATCCGCTTGCCCTCGTCTGCTTCTGGGGGAAGTGGAGCCTTGCTTCCCCGTCTGTGCCGGTGGGCTCCTCCTGAAGAAGATGGTGGTTGGGATAGAAAGCCAGGGGTCCGCACTACCCGGTCTATGCGGACCCCGAGCCGTTTCCCTGAGCTCTGGGGGACATGGGGCAATCTCGGCGCAGATGGCCTGGCTGGCCACAACCCCAGCAGACCCTGGGACCAGGGCGTGTGTTTCGTGCCGCCTGTAGCGACACAGCACGAATGAGTTCTGTCATTTCAGCCACCCATGCAGGCTTTTCCGGCTCCGGGCTGCTCTGCCCCCCAGCTCGCACAGAGGGTCTGTCTCCCTGCACCCCCACCAAAGCCCCAGCTGAAGCCCCAGCCCACACCAGCTCCCTCTCCAAAGCCATCTCCAAGGCTACCTGCAATGACTCAGGATGAGCCAGCTGGGTCTGTATGCGCAGCTCCGTAGGAGAGAGCGCCTGTATGAACTGGTCCCGTGCTAGCTCGCTCTGCACGGAGGGGGGCATGTGAGCATATGCCCGCCGAGAGAGGCTCTCAATGTCATTAGCTAGCACCCGTAGAGGCTCTCCAGGCTGCCTGCGTCTATTACTCAGTTCGGAGCGCAGTAGCCCGGGCTGTACACACTGTCCATAGCGCCTCCTCAGTGCTCCCACTAAAGCACCATAATCACTTCTGTCCTCGGGGCTAATCAATATCAAACAGGCCAGAGCTTCATCCGTGAGGCATAAAGCCAACTGCAGTGCCCTATCTTCATCCGACCACCCCCTAAAATGAGCTAACAGTTCAAACTGAGCATGAAAAGCTTCCCAATCCGCCTTACCGGAATACTTCGGGGTCTTAACGGATACGGACGCAGCCGGGAACTGGGCGCCGCCATGTTTGTTTACATCCTGAGCCCCAGATTCTTCGTCCCGCCGCGTCGACGTCACCCCTTCGGTCCGCCCACCAGAATCCGCGCGAAACACAGTCGACGAAGCACTCATGCCCGCTTCAGCCGCCATCACTCTAACGTCCTCCCTCAAGCGGCCTCTGGGCTCCGATGCCCTGGCGATCTCCTCAGCCAGAACCCCCGACGTCCATGCACACGCACCTCCTCGGCCATAATCGTCCCCTACCTCCACCTTCACTTTCGGATTCCCTCGAAGCATCTTCAACCCCCGTTCTCACCTACGGTAGCTAGCCACAGAAGTCAGCTAGCTAGCTGGCTAACTTTTATCAACGTTTTTACTTCTGACACCAATGTAATGACCTGACTAGATCATAAAAGAACAACTGTCCAGACAGAGGATTGAGTTTACGAATGGACGGTTTATTAAACCAACTTTACACAGGCTACTGTTTGGCCGTAGCCCACGCCAAATAAATGAAAGATAACCCACAAGCCAATCGTGACCTTCTCTTGTGAAGCCCAGACGTAAAGAGAGAGAACAAAGGCTAAACCTGGTCTTAACTTCCAATGCTCCATCCCCCTGCCCAACCCCCCTCCACGCCACTCCGCCAACCGCCAGGATGCCCGGCATCAGAACATTCCAGGCATTCCCGTGATTGGCAGATAGCAGGTTGATTGACATGTCGGACCCCGCGAACACTAGGTACTGGTAGGTACAACACAACCATCTACTAGCCTAACACATAACACACAGCTGTCTGTGCGGGTCGCTACAATATTTTTTTTTCATACTGGCCCCCCGTGGGAACTGTTGTCTTGTTCTCTTTTGATCTCACATGAGCAGAATTTGATCATCCTTTTAATGCAGAGGAGGTCCCTGGCTGGAACAGTCCCTTGGTCACATCATTAGGACATCAAGGAAATGCTGCAAATGCTAAAACAGTGTCATATTTGTGGTATTTTATTAAAAATAATAATACAAAAGGTATTTATGAACGCAAGAGTCTACTAAAGAGTCCAGAGACTTCATTTCCAACAACAACTTGTCAGAGAGAAAACATCCACATAATTAATTTGTGCAAAATGCCACATGTAATTTATAGCCCACCGATGGGATATGACTCATACAGAATATCTTAATACAGTCTAGAACAAAACAAAACAAGCACAAACAAAAACATTGGATCACTGGAGGATGTAGGAATATTAATCTTAATTTAATAATACTGTATAAACATAAGAAATATGGGAACATAAACAAATCCCTTGACTTCTGTCATTGCTTAGTCTGAGTACATCCATTGCACATTACCCTCACCAAACACTTGAATCAGTTAGTTAGCACCCTCTTGTGGTCACAGTATATCATTGCCTCTGTGGTGAGTTCCGAGACAGCCTGTCCACTCCAGCACTATGTCCCACCTCCCCCCTCCAGTCACCTGCACCTTCTCTGGATCAAAGCTCCAGTACTGCTGCTCCTTGAAGAAGTATACCTGTCCATCAGGGTGGCTGAGGGCCCCATTGGCTCCCTGGGGGACGCCCCTCCAGTCCTCCAGGCTGCGGGGGTAGTATGGTTCGGGCCTCAGGGTCCCAAGGTTGAGCACAAAGTAGCGCTGGCCTTTGAACACCACCAGGTGGCCCAGGTGGGGGTAGTAGAAGGCCTGGTCAGGGTGTCCAGGGAGGCCTAGCTCACTGCTCCGCAGGGGGAAGCCTGGGTCCATACCGCTGCTGGAGTAAAGCCACACTCGTCTGCCTGGAGGAAAAGACGCAAGGAGGAAGGTGCTGAGGTGCTGGTGGTGTGAGATGTGAAATTGCAATGCAGCAACACAAATATCAGGACACAAACGGAAAAATCAGTCTGTGTGAAACATTTCTGCAAAAATCTACCTGACTGTACTGTGTATCTCGAACTTGAACGCTAACACCAACTGTGATTCAAGACAGTTATTACTGTAACAAGAACAAAGAATTTCAGGTTTATTGCCGGGTTACTTGTGTCTTCACGTGCAGACTACCTTTGAAAAAGTAGAACTTATTGTCCATCTTTGAGTAAGCAGCTGCCTCAATGGCGAGGGGTAGTCCTGGCCAGCGGTTCTGCAGAGGTAGAGGGGAGCTGGCCTGGCCAGCAGGAGACGCAGTCCAGAACAGCCCCCCACGGAATACTAGGATGGTACCATCTTGGTCTGCAAGGTAATATAACATGGAAGCTTTATAGGTATCAGAGTATATCACTGTCTTCAGAAGTCAATGAGGAATTTTCAACCTACTGTTCATGTAAACTTATGTCCCAAAATAGTCATATGCCAAAATCCACCAGATGGCGATGCTTACTTGTTGTATTAGTCTTGTTTGAAACGTCAACTCTTATCCAAACCTTGCTTCTGACTGTGTAGCTAAGTTGGCAGAGCATGGCACTTGCAACGCCAGGGTTGTGGGTTCGATTCCCACAGGGGGCCAGTATGAAAAATGTACGCACTCACTAACTGGATAAGAGCGTCTGCTAAATGACTAAAATGTAACCTCAAATATGTTAGGTAAGTACAACTTCCAGTCGGGTGACAGAGAGCCTTTCAATTGAATTTATTTTTGAGCCTTTTTAGCATGGTCAGATAGTGACCACCAGTTCAGTCTTACCCATGGTGATGGCATCAAAGAAGCCCCTGCAGTAAGGAGGTGGGGTGGAATCAGGCTTCGCAGTGCCCCCTTCAGACAGCTCCCAGTCCTGCAGGGCAGAGCTAAACACCTGACCAGGCAACTGGATTACCTGACCACTCTCTGGCTTCCCTATAGAGAACATTCAATTACAAAAAGGACAGTAGCTTTAGTAATGTATAAGCTTTCATGACTATACATAATATACATGCATATTCTTCTATGTTACTACAATAGACCAAGTGCATCTGCAAAAAGCCTGACTGATTAATGTACATTATTTCTGACTACACAGCTTTCTGCTTTGGACAAGTACAGATATGACCTACATACCAGTTTCAAAGCAAGTTAGAGAGATACACAAAATATACTAATTGGCACGCCATAACATTGCAGCATGGAAAACCCAACACATCACGGATGACTGAGTGCTGAGATACTGACAGCTGAGCTGACTTTTGATTTACTGTATTCCGATGCCAAAAAAAGTCAAAAGAGCCAAATGATTTTCCGATGCCACTGAATCGCAGACACAACATCTCCTTTGATTTGTCTCCAGATGTTGCCCACCCATTCTGTTTAGAAAAGGTTGAGCAAACAATTGTGTAAAGGCCTGATAAAATCGGCATCCCTAAGGAGAGCGAGACAAAACATGAGGAGACAGTTTGTCTGGCTTCTCCCTGTTTTACTGTCTAAGTGGAAACGTTGATGTACAAGGATGTTGCTTGTTTACTTTGGTGTGACTTTGAGGGGACGAGAGGATGGGAAAAAAAGACTGATAAACAATGTTTCCATCTGCTGGAAGCCTGGCTCTGTGATATAGTGATCTCTGGACATCCCTTTGGGAAAGCATCAGAGTGTTCAGATGGAAAAATGGAGTCTATACAGTAGCCTATGCTACCTGGTGTGATTCCCTGTAATAAATGTGATGGCTTTAGCCACACTTTTAATATGAAAAGATTCCGTCCTTTGTTTTTTTCAATTGATGCTTCATATACTGTATGACAGAGTGATCGGACACTGTGATGTCATGGTGAATGATAGCACAGCATATGGTGATGGGTTAAATAAACGGATGCTGATCCAATCTCTAGTCAGATTTGTGGACTAAATTCAATATGAGGTCTCAATGTCATTTTATCATCATCTCCACACCCTTATGTAACCTTGTTTCCTCCTCTACCTGACCACTGACTATTACCTCCACATGTTCTCGCTCTCTTCCACAAGTTTTTTCTTCCACTCCAATTTTTTAAAGTAGTAGTTGGCATGTAAATGACTGGTTCAAAATCTTGCTCAAATTCAAATAGAATTTAATGTTCCTCTCTCAGAGTGGAGTATGCCTACGCACCATAAAGCTGCTGTACAGCAGTGATGTCATCCCAGCTCAGCACCGTGGCTTTCCCCAGCTTCTTGTAGTAGGGGGATGTCACGATCGTCTAATGAGGGAGTGGACCAAAGCGCAGCGCGTTGAGCGAACATGACTTTATTTAATTAAAGTGCAACACGAAAACCACAAAACAAATGACGATACGAGAAGTCCACAGTGACAATGACTGTACAGGAACAAAAACCCACAAACACAAGGTGAACACAGACAGTTTAAATATGGCTCCCAATCAGAGACAACGAGCCAACAGCTGACACTCGTTACCTCTGATTGGGAGTCACTCAAACAAAGAAATACAACAACCTAGAAATAGACACAACAGAACTACCAACATAGAAATAAACACATAGAATGAACACACCCTGGCTCAACATAATGAGTCCCAGAGCCAGGGTGTGACAGTACCCCCCCCCTAAAGGCGCGGACTGCGACCGCGCCTCAACTAAACAAAACAGGGGAGGGCTGGGCGGGCATACCTCCTCGGTAGCGGTTCTGGCTCCGGCCTTGACCACCACCCTCCGATACACCCCCCAAAGTACCCCTGGTCCTGTCTAGCCCCGCTGGCCGGAGCCGGACTGACGACACGCGCCCCTGGCTTGGTGCGTGGAACAGGAATGGACCGGAATGGGCTGGCGACACGCACCACAGACTTGGTGCGGAGAGCAGGAACGAGCCGGACAGGGCTGACGACGCACCCCGTAGGCTTGGTGCGTGGAGGCGGAACGGGCCTTACCAGGCTGACGACTCGCACCCCCGGCTTTGTGCGTGGAGGAGGAACGGGCCTTACCAGGCTGACTTCTCGCACCCCTGGCTTAGTGCGAGTGGCAGGAACAGGCCGGACCGGGCTGGCGACGCGCACCGTAGGTTTGGTGCGAGTGGCAGGAACAGGCCGGGTCGGGCTGGCGACGCGCACCGTAGGTTTGGTGCGAGTGGCAGGAACAGGCCGGGTCGGGCTGGCGACGCGCACCGTAGACTTGGTGCGGGTGGCAGGAACAGGCCGGACCGGGCTGGCGACGCGCACCGTAGGTTTGGTGCGAGTGGCAGGAACAGGCCGGGTCGGGCTGGCGACGCGCACCGTAGACTTGGTGCGGGTGGCAGGAACAGGCCGGACCGGGCTGGCGACGCGCACCGTAGGTTTGGTGCGAGTGGCAGGAACAGGCCGGGTCGGGCTGGCGACGCGCACCGTAGACTTGGTGCGGGTGGCAGGAACAGGCCGGACCGGGCTGGCGACGCGCACCGTAGGTTTGGTGCGAGTGGCAGGAACAGGCCGGGTCGGGCTGGCGACGCGCACCGTAGACTTGGTGCGGGTGGCAGGAACAGGCCGGACCGGGCTGTGGAGACGGATAGGAGGCCTGGAGTGAACAGCGGCCACCACCCGTCCTGGCTGAATGCCTACCCTCACACACTCTGTGTGAGGCATCCGCACAGGACGTACAGGGCGGTGTACCCCTGGCCTGGTGGCCTCCTGGATTCGCCCCATCTTTGCCTCCGTCGTCCATGCCGTGTGCCCCCCCCTAAAAATTTCTTGGGGTTGCCTCTCGACCCTCCGACGCTGCTCCCACGTCCAGGTTGCCTGTTCCTGGACACGCTGCTTGGTCCTTTGATGGTGGGTTTTTCTGTCACGATCGTCTAATGAGGGAGTGGACCAAAGCGCAGCGCGTTGAGCGAACATGACTTTATTTAATTAAAGTGCAACACGAAAACCACAAAACAAATGACGATACGAGAAGTCCACAGTGACAATGACTGTACAGGAACAAAAACCCACAAACACAAGGTGAACACAGACAGTTTAAATATGGCTCCCAATCAGAGACAACGAGCCAACAGCTGACACTCGTTACCTCTGATTGGGAGTCACTCAAACAAAGAAATACAACAACCTAGAAATAGACACAACAGAACTACCAACATAGAAATAAACACATAGAATGAACACACCCTGGCTCAACATAATGAGTCCCAGAGCCAGGGTGTGACAGGGGACATGAGAGCATGGCGCACAGGAGAGTGCTCCAGGCCCAGCGTGTGGCCCACCTCGTGGGCAATCACCATGAACAGGTTGTGGCCCTTGTAGCCGTTCAGTGTCCAGCGCTCTGCCATGTCAAAGTGAGCCTCCCCTCGGCATGGGAAGAAGGCGTGCGCTAGGGCGCCTCCTGGGGTTAATAACAAAAACATAGAGAGGGTTCAGGGGTGGAAGAGAAGCTTCCCAACGCAATCCTTTGCCCTAAGAAATATGGTGGAAGCTTCTCGACTCCCATTTTCAGGCTAGGTGGAACCATCACAATGTTTCTTATGACTATCCGGTCCCTTTACATCTGAAAATAATGAAGCAGTAGAGGCTAGGGGCTATTTTCAGACCAGGCAAGACAGATCTGTAAGCAAGTGAACATTGTGACAGCTGGGGCTAGTCCCGAATTAGATCTTTCACAACTGAATCCAACTGATCTTTGGAAATTGCCCTGTTTGAAAATGCATCCTCCCTTCAGGTAAATTATGATCGTTCAGGATTCAATCAAAATGTCAAACCATCAATAGTTATACTGCTATACTCCCCACCTGGACCATCAAAGGCATTGCCCATGCCGTCGTTGTGCTCCCCCTTGTAGAAGGCGAGCCGAATGTCAGCTGAACCCTGGATGACCTCTCTGAAGGTCAGGTCCGACACGTTGCTCCACAGCTGGAAAGCCTTTCGTGTGGCTAGGGCCACCTGACCCCGAGGGAGGTGGCCAGGCCAGTTCACCACCCGGTAGGTCAGGTGATGCTTGTGCCATCTCCCAGCTGCAGAGAGATGAGATGGATTGACGAAAATAGAGGAGCAAGGGGGACTCATGACAAAGAAGTAAGATATATAAATGTTGAAAAAGAGTAGTTAAATGGGTCACTAGCACCAACTGTTGGGATCGCTGTTGTGTTGAGTAAGATTCAGATTGTCATTCATGCAGCGAATGTCATTCATGCAGGGAGATAGGATAAGGGAGAACGAGGAGACGGAGAGAGAGAGAGAGAGAGAGAGAGAGAGAGAGAGAGAGAGAGAGAGAGAGAGAGAGAGAGAGGTTTGCACATTTCAGGAAGTGTGAGAATGGTTCCAGATGCACTATTACAGTAATGGGAATGTGAGTGTTTAATTTTTAACAATAAGGGTGAATCCTTTGGCTAAGTGCAGAGAGAGTAATGTTTATTGCATTACTTGTGGTTTGAGCAGTGACACAACTTTAAAAAATGTAAACAACTCATTCAGAAGAGCTCTTGCTGTGTAGGATTTTTTGGTGTCAAAACAACTCCCTGCATCTTTGTAATACGAGTATAAAAATAACCTTGTAAATTGACTGCAGCAGAGGCCTTATGTCCCAATAAGACACATTCATTGAGCAAGACCACCTCACACATACCTCTGAAAAAACACAAATGTGGGAAGAGTTAGTCTTCTTCACCTATACGAGCTTAGAGCCAGAGTGTGATAAACACATTTCAAGAGCTTGTGGGAAATCACTCAGACCCCAAAAAACATTCACCTTATTTCTACCTACAGTGAGGGAAAAAGTATTTGATCCCCTGCTGATGTTGTATATTTGCCCACTGACAAAGACATGATCAGTCTATAATTTTAATGGTAGGTTTATTTGAACAGTGAGAGACAGAATAACAACAAAAACATCCAGAAAAACGCATGTAAAAATTTTTATAAATTGATTTGCATTTTAATGAGGGAAATAAGTATTTGACCCCTCTGCAAAACATGACTTAGTCCTTGGTGGCAAAACCCTTGTTGGCAATCACAGAGGTCAGACCTTTCTTGTAGTTGGCCACCAGGTTTGCACACATCTCAGGAGGGATTTTGTCCCACTCCTCTTTGCAGATCTTCTCCAAGTCATTAAGGTTTCGAGCCTGACGTTTGGCAACTTGAACCTTCAGCTCCCTCCACAGATTGTCTATGGGATTAAGGTCTGGAGACTGGCTAGGCCACTCCAGGACCTTAATGTGCTTCTTCTTGAGCCACTCCTTTGTTGCCTTGGCCGTGTATTTTGGGTCATTGTCATGCTGGAATACCCATCCATGACCCATTTTCAATGCCCTGGCTGAGGGAAGGAGGTTCTCATCCAAGATTTGACGGTACATGGCCCCGTCCATCGTCCCTTTGATGCGGTGAAGTTGTCCTGTCCCCTTAGCAGAAAAACACCCCCAAAGCATAATGTTTCCACCTCCATGTTTGACGGTGGGGATGGTGTTCTTGGGGTCATAGGCAGCATTCCTCCTCCTCCAAACACGGCGAGTTGAGTTGATGCCAAAGCTCCATTTTGGTCTCATCTGACCACAGCACCTTCACCCAGTCATTCAGATGTTCATTGGCAAACTTCAGACGGGCCTGTATATGTGCTTTCTTGAGCAGGGGGACCTTGCGGGCGCTGCAGGATTTCAGTCCTTCACGGCGTAGTGTGTTACCATTTGTTTTCTTGGTGACTATGGTCCCAGCTGCCTTGAGATCATTGACAAGATTCTCCCGTTTAGTTCTGGGCTGATTCCTCACCGTTCTCATGATCATTGCAACTCCACGAGGTGAGATCTTGCATGGAGCCCCAGGCCGAGGGAGATTGACAGTTCTTTTGTGTTTCTTCCATTTGCAAATAATCACACCAACTGTTGTCACCTTCTCACCAAGCTGCTTGGCGATGGTCTTGTAGCCCATTCCAGCCTTGTGTAGGTCTACAATCTTGTCCCTGACATCCTTGGAGAGCTCTTTGGTCTTGGCCATGGTGGAGAGTTTGGAATCTGATTGATTGCTTCTGTGGACAGGTGTCTTTTATACAGGTAACAAGCTGAGATTAGGAGCACTCCCTTTAAGAGTGTGCTCCTAATCTCAGCTGGTTACCTGTATAAAAGACACCTGGGAGCCAGAAATCTTTCTGATTGAGAGGGGGTCAAATACTTATTTCCCTCATTAAAATGCAAATCAATTTATAACATTTTTGACATGCGTTTTTCTGGATTTTATTGTTGTTATTCTGTCTCTCACTGTTCAAATAAACCTACCATTAAAATGATAGACTGATAATTTCTTTGTCAGTGGGCAAACCTACAAAATCAGCAGGGGATCAAATACCTTTTTCCCTCACTGTACATGGTTGAACCGGTTTACCAGTCTTGCCCCTCTTTTGAACAAGTATATAAGAAACTCCCCAAAATGTGGTCTTGGACACATAATATTTGTGTTATTTTAAGCAAACCAAATATCTCATTTATCTCTCAATGTTTACAGTGTGCTTCCAACATGCCTCATTGGTGAGGCTTGATCAATTGATGGTGCAATAGCTTGTTTCTCTCAGTCTCTCAACCATGACTTCTGTTGGCTGCCTTCACTTAATGGATGGATGGATAGATAGATACAACTTTCTTCCTTACCACACTAACATTTGAAAGAATGCCACAAAATGTTATTCCCCTGAAATGTACAGTGTCTTGCCCATTGACATTCCTGTTCAAATTGCATCTTGCCCATTGACCTTCACTGCCTAACTTGCAGAAACTGTCTTCCAATATCCCGTTCAAATTTAGGCTCTAGGTCAAATAATACCTCAACAAAATACTGTAGAATCCTTGCATGTATTATGTCCGGAATCTCTCTTTAAAGCAATAGCTCCAGGGGATCACAAGCTTCCCTGCTGTGGACTTCCCTCTCCTAGTATTTGCACAGGGAGCAGGTGGCAGCTGTCAGGTATCAACCAGAAGCTGGAAAAGTTGGCAGTATGACGCATGCTCCTGCATTCTTCTAGTATTATCCAATCACTCCAGGGGCTGTGTGGAATTACATACTTTTCAACATCCAGACCACAAACACCAGCACCCTGTTACCCAAAACCAGCTCCATTTACCACTGAGCATGTAGGCCTATCTCTCACACAGTGAAGATGTGTTGGACAGTCTCCATATGGGCCTGGGCAGATGTACAAGCTTACAGGGGGCTTATTGGAGAGAGTGTCGTATATCTTAACCATTTAGGCAGTGGTTCTCACAGACTAAAAGGGACCAGGGAGCTCCTTTAAGATAAAATAGGATGTGTGTGCAAAGAGTTTTTATCTAACTTAGAATGTGCTTCCCACGCACAAGTGGAGATTGGAGAATTCCCTGAAGATATATATATGGCTGTGTGTGTAAACAAACCTACATACTACACTGGCTGGGATTTTGAGTTAATATTGAACAACCCTAACAGAGACCAACCACGGGAAGCACATGGCCATGGATGTTGACTGCCACTACTGAGTCCTTTAATGGAGACATCAAAACCCATTTTCTTAAATTCGGACCTCAAAGCCAGGAGTAAGGATGATTTTCCGAACTTTCCTCTAATCTGGGATTGACTAAAGGAAAACCAGCCTGGGATTTGAGAATTCCTGCCTAACAGCTAATAACTAATTTGGTCATTGCGGAAACCAACAGGGCAGCTTGCCATTGGGAGTAATTGAGCAAACAACTTAATGTTATTACCTCAAATCGATGGTAATAGTTGATTCGATTAACATTTAATTGAGGATGCAGTATCAAGTCACAGTTCAGATGATGAGATGAGTTAGCCTGACAACATGCTTGACCTCTCCATTCTAGACAATAAAGTCACATTGGAATTGCTTTAGCAGTCTTTCCTTGAAGTATGACCTGGATAATCAAGTCCATCTGTATGGGCCAATTATATTTCAATTCAATCATTTGATCTTCAAAGAAGGAATACAAAATTAGTAAAATGTAGGGGGTTGGTTTGAAATTGGCCAGTAGTGAGCCCAATGTGAGCCCAAATCAGCTAAAGGGGGTCCATGGACTGGCCACTAACCTAGCTGGCTATGGCGCTTCCTGCGTAGACGCTGCCCACTGTTAGGTTTGGTCAGACCTCCATTGAAGATGCTGTTGACCCTCTGTGCCCAGGCTTGCTGGCCCCTGTCATCCCTCACCCCACACCTGGGCACTGCCATCTGGTGCTGGGTTGCACTGTCAAGACGCCCAGTGACTGGCAGGTGGGTGAGCCACTGGAACTCCTTGAAAGCCAGACAGAGGAGAGATGGATGAATGATAAAAGAAGAGTGAATGACACACAAAGATAGGAGAACACATCCAGAATGAGAGCAAGTAGAATCAAAAAGTAACAAACCGTAAAATGTGATGAAATCAATATAGCACTTCACAAGTGATCCCCATGTGATGGTAGTGGGTGTTGTTTACAACTGACATCAAACCTTGCTGAGCAGTGGAGGTAATGCACCGTCTAGCTCTCCATTAGTCTCAAATGCATGTGATCTAAATAAGGGCATAAATAATAGCTGCCATAATACCTCTATCACCTGGATAAATACCAGGCTCTGGTAGCAGACTGTTTCTTCCATTAGGGAAACCAAGCTTTTGCTTTGCTGATAGAACATAAACATGTAATACATTTAGATCAATCTTTTAAATGAGGCATGCTTTTCTTCTCCAAATATTGGGTAACTCCCAGTGCAACTGTGAAAACAGAGACGTGCTTGGTTTTTCACTCAAGCACAACTGCGGAATGGGACTCACTTTTGGTAAAGCTATGTTAACACAACACCTTAAAGACATTTTCACAGAGAATTAAAAAATTTCCTCAGATTTGGTGTTCTGAGAAACAATTAAGTGAGTTCACAAAATCTATGAAAAATGTACATAACATCTCCTTTAACAGCCAATACATTGTAATCAATCATTGACGACACTCAATTAAAGGTTTCCCTAATTTCCCATTATTACTGTAAAGTAATTTTTCTGGTAGGTTGAATGATGCCAGGCTGATTGTACCTGAGAGCTGTGTTGACCTCAATATCATTATGTTGGTGATACTCCTCCTCTAGGTATCCATACTTCTCCAGAAAATGCTATTCAGGAAAACACAGAACTTACAAACAAATTCAGAATGTGTATCACACGCTCTCCTGGACCATAGACTATGTTCAACGTAAGGAAAGGGAACAAAACAATATAAAGTAATTGAGCAATTTGAGTGGACTACAACACTTAAGTGCTTTAGAATACCATGGTCAAGACATCTGGCCTGGAGGGAAGAGATGAAAGCATTGGGGCTGGTATGAAAGAACCTAAAACATCATTAAGCACTGAGTGAATACAGCGGAGGACTCAAATGAGGGCTAAGTGGTCTAATCAGCATAGTTTGTTGGGACCTCGCTAACACAGCATATGCTAATACCAGAGATGCCATTGATTATCACTGCTAGGCAAATCCCTGCCTTATCTTAGCTCATTGGTCACCATAGCAACACCCACCCGTAGTATGCGCTCCAGCAGGTATATCTCACTGGTCACCCCCAAAGCCAAGCTGCCAATGACTGGAATGAACTGCAAACATCTCTGAAGCTGGAGACTCTTATCTCCCTCACTAACTTTAAGCATCAGTTGTCAGAGCACCTTACCGATCACTGCACCTGTACACAGCCCATCTGTAATTAGTCCACCCAACTACCTCATCCCCATCTTGTTATTTATTTTGCTCATTTGCACCCCAGTATCTCTATTTGCACATCATCTTCTGTACATCTATCACTCCAGTGTTAATACTAAATTGTAATTATTTTGCACTATGGCCTATTTATTGCCTTACCTCCATAACTTACTACATTTGCACACACTGTATATAGATTTTCTATTTTTCTATTGTGTTATTGACTGTACTTTTTTGTTTATCCCATATGTAACTCTGTGTTGTTGTTGTTTTTATCGCACTGCTTTGCTTTATCTTGGCCAGGTCGCAGTTGTAAATGAGAACTTGTTCTCAACTGGCCTACCTTGTTAAATAAAGGTGAAATAAAATTAAAATATTCTCACCACTGACAGAGATGTTTGTGGTGAGGGAACAACCCATCATACTTTTCCCTGACTGGATTGATTAGGCCCTGAGGGCCGCCAGCCAGCGCTGTTCCCATGAGCAGCTGGGAGCGAGCAGAGTGCAATGTGGGATGGGATGTGGCGCTCTGGCCCACTTCGGCAGCTGGGTGATGATGGGCGGCACTCCCCTGGGCCTTCTGTGGCCTACAGTAGTCCCTTAAATGGCTGCCTAATGGAAACCAGCCAGCACAGCTGGGTAGAGACTAAATACTAGAGAGAGGGTCCTGTGCATTGGACTGGAGCTCCACAGACAATTGTCAGTGCAAAGAAAACCAGATTAGTTGAATTTACTGGGTAGTCTTGGGTTTTGAACAAGGCTGGATCTAAAGCAGGCTAAATGATAAGTTCCAACAGACACATACAAAGATACCTTGCACCATCGGTAGGTCAGATCGCCAGGGCGAAATCCTAACTTGAGATCAAGTGACGGGCATGCTTCTCAAATTAAGATTCAGCCTGACAAGTTATGAGTTACAAGTCAGTTCTCTGTTCACTATACTCTTCGGAATTTGTGTGACCAAAAACTGGGCTGTCCTGTACTGAGAAGATTTAGCTATTTAAAAAAATAAAAAAATAAAGCCAGACCACAAAGAGCTCAAAGTGTAGCCTAGTTTGCTGATCAAAAGCTCCATTCCCAAAAAGGAGTGAAGTAAAGTGAAGAACCATGAAACTGGGACTGACTTAAGGTCAGAGAAGCCAGGCAAGCTGGGGTCAGGAACAAACTGGGTTGTGTGCAAAGCCATAATACTATGACTGGGTCAACTAACCCTGAGCTCTGTTTACCCCATTCATAGACACTAACTACCTTTAGCAACTATTGACGATAAGATCTTTTGGCCGGTGGACTTTTGTTAAGAGCCCTGGCGCTCGGTCTGAACTTTAACACGGTATGGTTTTGGAAACATAAGGAACATATCTTTCATATCAGTGAGAAATAAAAAAATTTAAACAAAAGGTTAAATTACTACATACCTTTACATGCACAGTTACTATGGAGTTAGTCTGAACAGTCGGAAGACAGAGTCGACTACCTGTGCTAATTAGCTATCTGCATCTCTAAACATCTGTGTGTAAATGGAAGACGGACGCCACAAATACGTTGTTACTGAGAAATACTGTCAGCTGCAACTGTTAAAACAAGTTAAAACAGTGTAAGTAAGTGTATATTTAGTATTTGTGAAATTATTTTGATGTGATATGAAAGTGGAAGGCTTTATGTTTCTAGAACCGTACTGCAATTGAGAATCAATTTTAGTTTAGATGGAGTATTTGGCTGTTTTGGCTGCCAGAGACAATTAGTCTCTAAACAGAACATGTAAGGTCCTTGGACTATAAGGATTAATTTAGGCTCCTTTAGTCCATTGTTGGGCTATGTTTACCCCCAAAAGTTGTAAAGCTTTGCAAAGAGCTATCCAATCAGTGAGGGAAGCACACTCCATAGTAGTCTGATTAATCAGGCTGTAATACATCATTAATTGGTATATACAGCCTGAAACTAATGCCTGCAAAATTGTGTAAAGCATGCCATGACAATTAAAGTATATATTCTGAATCAGTGGAGGGTGGAGAACAATCGACACTTTTATTTAGTGTGGAATTTTAGATTTTTTGGAAAATTGAAATCCGAATAAAAAACATGTTGATTGTTCTACATACTCTCCTGATTCAGAATATACGATTTTCATTGTCATGGCATGCTTGGTTCATAGCTATTGACGAGAGAAAACCGAATGTCCAATATCAAACTAATTTTACCTTGGTGCCACACTGAATCAAATACCTACCAGCTCTGTAAAAAGTTGGGTAAACAATACTTTTCTGTGGATATTCTGTCTCAAATTTCGAGCAGCTGGAGGATAAACCACACAGACTAGTAGATTAAGTTGAAATGTAATTTTATTCAAGCCAGAATGGCTTTTAAGAAACATTTACACAATTTTGCAGGCATTAGTTTCAGGCTGTATCTACCAATTAATTGTGTATTACAGCCAGATTAATCAGACCAACTCCATAGTAACTGTACGTGTGATGAAAGAAAAGTGAATGCCTTAATCAAATAATTGAATGTAATTTATTACACTGAACAGTGACAGCCAGTCCTTGCCATAATTTAGGATTTTTCGGCGAATTTGCATAACCTACTTCTGCGCTAGTCTCAGGTGGTGGCGCGAGATTTAGCAACACAGGTGAGCCAAAGGTAATGGATGCCTTCAAATTGAGCAGCACACAAGAAAGCAGAAACAGGAATGTCCACAAAGTTTTCTCAGGTAAAATGTTAATCTTGCCGAAAACAACACCACAAGTCCTCATACTCGGACACTTTCAATGACTCACATATTTGACAATATATATATTGACAATATATCCCGAAAGATGTCTCCATGTCACTGTCTGTATCTAGAGCCACACTGTGAGGAGTCTGCTCAGAGGCACTGCCTCCAAAATTGAAGGGTGTGACTCAGTTTCCAGTGTTCCAATCCAACTTCAGTCTTGGAGATAAATATGGAGTTCCTTAGCTGCGTTCAATGTAGATCAGTGGCGGTCGGTGCCCTTTAAGATGAGGGAGGACAAATATTTTTTTAGGAGCATGACCTTATTTCTATTACAGCATATTGGATGACTGTCATTCACATTCTATTCACCCAGCTCAATGTAACGTCGATAGGTTTAGTCTACTACTGATACTCACATTTGCAACTTAGGTGTACAGGTCGAAAGACACATTCAGTAGGGCCTTGCACACCACCTAGCTGATCTAGGGTGTAATCATTAGTCCAACAGTTGCAAACAAGAGTTCCTATTGGACAAATTCAGGTATGTTTATCCCCGTTTTGTTCTGTTTGCTTCCGTTTAAGAAACGTTTTTCAACAGAATCACTTTCATAGCATACAAACAGCATGATCCCTTTGATCATTGTATAATTCCTTCTCACATCTATGCGCTCTCCTCCTCCCATCTTTTCCCTTCACTTGTGGACTTCAGTGCACAACACATCAGCTGTCTGTGACCAGGCGCAAAAGCCTTTCCAAGCCAAACCTTCATATCATAACCGCTAACCACTACACACAGCCTACACCGTTGTCACCATATTAACATCATAGTCAACATGGCTACTAGAACTAACGCGTTAGTAAACCTGATACAATCATGCAGTACAGTGTACAGTCAGCAGCAACCAGTTTAGCAGTTACACTGGCAGGCCCCGGTGGTAATAAATTAATAAAACCAAAAGCTTATGTAACCGGTGTGAAATGGCTAGCTAGTTAGCGGTGCGCGCTAGTAGCATTTCAATCGGTGACGTCACTCGCTCTGAGACCTTGAAGTAGTTGTTTCCCTTGCTCTGCAAGAGCCGCTGCTTTTGTGGAGCGACGGGTAACGGTGCTTCGAGGGTGACTGTTGTCGATGTGTGCAGAAGGTCCCTGGTTCAAGCCCAGGTAGGGGCGAGGAGAGGGACGGAAGCAACACTGTTACACTTATCTTGACTTGGAAGAGTTCCAGTATTGGCTAGCCATAGCCAGCTAGCTAACATAGCATCCCTCTCTGTTTGAGCCGGGTGTTTGAGTAGGATAAACGAGCTAGCTGAATTTACTAGCTAAGTAAGTGAAAGTGAAAAAAAATACAGCAAAATATAGCTAGCTCTCGCTCTCTCTCTTGCTTCTCCTTCATTTTTGAAGAAATTAATTTGTTCAGAACTGTTCAACTATTGTCTTTCTCTCTTTTTGAGTCAACTATTCACCACATTTTATGCACTGCAGTGCTAGCTAGCTGTAGTTTATGCTTTCAGTACTAGATTAATTCTCTGATCCTTTGATTGGGTGGACAACATGTCAGTTCATGCTGCAAGAGCTCTGATAGGTTGGAGGACGTCCTCCGGAAGTTGTCATAATTACTGTGTAAGTCTATGGAAGGGGGTGAGAAACACGAGCCTCCTAGGTTTTGTATTGAAGTCAATGTTCCTCCGGCTACACCATTGTGAGACCCTACAGAGGGCTGTTGAGGCTACTGTAGACCTTCATTGCAAAACAGTGTGTTTTAATCGATTATTTGGTGACATTTGAATAGATTTAGTATAGTTTTATCTAAAAAGGATAACATTTTTAATGTTTCACTATATAAAAAAAACGAAATTCACTGAGGAGGATGCTCCTCTCCTTCCTCCTCTGAGGAGCCTCTACTGATGTAGATTAATGTTTTAACTGTAAGGCATTGGAAAGAAAGGTTGGTGGCACCTGACCCTCATAGCAGGAAATAAATAAGTAATAATATGGTAATAATTAATGTGCTTGCTGAAACTACTACTGTTATTCCCAATACTAAACTACATACTACAGCTGAAGCAAGCACACACATTTTCTTCAAGATATACCTTTCTACACCTTATTACTTCTTACAACATTTCCTGCTGTAAGACTATAAAGAACTGTGTTATTATTTTTTCAAAATGTCTTACCCCGTTGTTGTTATTTCTGTGTTTTTTATTTTCATTCTTTAACATTGAATACTGATATTGATTTGTCTTTTCATGCAATAGAAATGACATTATTTGCCCAGATGGATTGCTGTTGAATACATTTTAAAATTTTAGTCATTTAGCTGATGCTCCTATCCATAGTGAGTAGTGAGTGCATACATTTTCATACTTTTTTTTCAATTTCGAATAGTTCACAATCGGTTTATTGAAGACACATTTTTACTCTGGAAATGTAAAGTTATTACACCTGAAAGTTCACTGATGCAAATGGCCATTTGTCTCATATTTGCTGTTGAATAAAATGGCCATTTGAAATAGTTGGCAGGCCTAGTTTACAATCTCACTGGATCATTGAAGACCATTCACCGTTACATAAAGTAAACGTTTATCTCAACAAAGATTCTTATAATATCTATAATGTTTGAGTTGGTTGAATGGATATCTGATGACAGGTCAATGTCCCTAATCCACCAATCATAGACGGTTGCGTGCGTCAACCCCAGCGAAAGGGGCGGTCTATTGTCAACATTTTTGCAGCGCTTCGCAGTGGAGAAGGTTAGTAGGGTAGCTGCTATCTAGCTAATGTCAACTTTATAAAGTTTAGGTAGCTAGATACAGAGTTTGTGTTTATAAACTGTGTAGCTACGTTGTTGTTATATATAATGTCAACATTGTTGCAGACAACTTCGTGATAACTTAGTTGACCAATTTGACCTAATTTGGCTATCAGATTTACTCCAGCTAGTTAACTTTAGCTACCAGCTCGCATGCTAACTGATAAGCTAGCGACTAAAGCTACTAGCTAGCTAGCTTAGCTGGCCAAGGAGCTCTGACCTGCAAGTTACTCCTCAGGTCTGTCATCTTTCTAGCTAGCTATATCTATTTTGATTATTTTTATGTAGAAAGTGTGATGACAACAAGATAATGATCAAAGCATGATGATGGAAAACAGATTTAGCTAGCTACCGCGTTAGCCTTTGGTAGCTATAGCCCTTGGTGTTTGAATGCAACAAGTAACTTTAGCTAGGTAGCTAGTTGACAGCTCTTTCAGGCTAGATGGCTAACTGGCCACCAATATGCCAACACTGGTTTACCATAACCAACTTGTGTTGACTTAGCTAGCTACTTAGGTTGTCATGAGTTTTTCTCACAGTTATTTTTACTAACTACAACAATTGTCTTCAGCCATAGTTATCCAGACATAAATACTTTGTTGTATGAACTAGAACTCAAATTCAATACCTAGTAGTGTTTAGTACCTAGCCACCTAGCTACGCAATTCTCACATCATCTAATTGAATTGAGCTGCCTGCCATCTGCATTGTCCCGACATGCCCCTAGATTAAGTGATAGTTACAGCTAATCCACACTGCAGGAAAGCCAACCTACTCAAATTGGACTAATCCTGTTGCCTAATCAGCTAGCTAACTCCATCCAACTATAGTCTTACAGGGGTAGTATAGTCTTGTCAAAGATGCACTGTGATTTCAGAAGTTGTAACACATTTTTTACTTACCACAGCAGCTGCCAGTGCTACCATGGCCTTTTCAGGGTTTCGGGGTGACGTTTTCCAGGTGCGTGGCGGCCGTGACCCCGTCTTCTCTGAGGCCATCAACCAGAATATGCGTGTCCCGGACCGGCTGAGAGTGGGGCCAGGCATGGGACAGGGAGGGGAAGAGGCAAGGCAGGGGCGTGCTGAGCGTTCCGCTTCCTACAGCATGCACATCCCAGACAGGTTGTCTCTCACAGGTGGGTGCATGGCAGGTCTGGAGGTAGGCCTATTGATGAAGACAAAACGGGAGGCATTTTATGTGGCTTAAGTTAGAAGTAGAGTTGGAATAGAACGGAGACGGGTCAGAAGAACTCCTTTAGCCACTTTACAATGCTGGTCATGAAAGCTCTTTAGATTTTCTCAAGATTTGAGATTCGGAGCAGTCATGGGATCTGTGTGTGAGTTCCTATCATATCTCAGTGTTCTGATATCTTTGACTTACTAATAGATGCCCCGGACATGAGCCCCCGTCCACTGTTCACGCCATCCAAGCACAACTCAGCCCTCCCCCTGGGGCCTGCATGGGAGGCACAGCAGCAAGGTGCCTGGGACAGAGACCCCTACATGAGGGAACCAGTGCAGGTATGTGAGACTGCAGACTGGACTTTATCTTCGGGAATACGTTGTCTGACAATAATTGGATCAGTGACTGCATGTGACTGATGCATGCAGTGTCAAGCCATTGCTCTCAGTATCATTTTTCAAAGTGTTCAGAGTCATGCTTAGGGAGAGCTGTTTAATTGATTCAATATGCATGCACCACCTGCATTGAAACATTCCAAGCAGCGTCCATCTGGTCCTACCCTCACCATCTAACTTATATTACTCTTTCTCTTTCCTGTGACAGAGTCCCCTGCGGAGGTCCTACAGCGACCAGGCTTTTGGCAGGAGCGACCCTGGCACCCCCACCTCCAAACAGGCACAGCACACCCCCACCTTGTAAGTACAAGACACATTGGATTAAACACTTCTTAAATCCTTTGGTGAAGCCTATGATTGTCACCATAGCAATCCAGCTCTTTCCTTGGACCAGCGAGGGGGTTACATGTCTAACGCTTTCTCAGAAGCTGAGAAAAAAAAAGCTCCCAAAACACATATGGTGCTGAATGTTTTCAGAACACATTACTTTAAAACATAACTTTGTTGGTTTTTGTCACCTTGTGTATGAAACAACTTGGCCGTATGTAAGCATAGTAGCATTACTTTTACCCTTGTTCAGTCTTTCAACACAAAGCTTGCCTGCCCGTTCAAGCCTGGAACCTTTCAGAAAGACACAAAGGAAAAGTTGCATTGTCGGCTTGGGACACTAAATTCTATTGACTTTGCGCTGCCTCAGGCCCATACAGCTATGTCCTCCGCCTTTTGAGCTGTTTCCAGCAGAGGGAGACAAACATTGGTTCCTCTGATCTCTAGCCTCTCCTTACGTGTAGGTTATATTCGAGGCAACGTGAAGCCAGGCAGACAGTCAAAGTAATGTGAGTCAGTTGAAGTTATGTGGCTTGTCACTATGCTTGGTAACAGTTGTGCCCCTCTCGGTCTAACCTCTGTCTTTTTTGGTGACCCTATCCAACCCCTCCCTCGTGCCTGTTATAGTGGTGCAGGACGCCCCCCTCAATGCTCCTCTGCTGCAAACCCCCTGCCCATGCCCCTGGGGCTCCCTGCCATCCCACCCAGCCTCCTGTCCCCAACGACCATGCTACAGGCCGCCAAGGAACTGGGCCAGCAGGCCTCACAGCGCCTCCTGCAGACTGTCGCTCAGAAATACAGGTTAGGTGCTAGGGGCAAATTCTACCTTCTCCGTCATGAGTGACCCCTGCCTACCCACTCCTAAATCTTAACAAATGGCACCTAACCTCCTTCCATTCCTTCCTTGCTTGGGCTTGCATGTCTGTCCTTACACTACTAATTCAAATGTTCTCTGCCAGGCTTTTGCTTCAAGATATAGATTCTGTCTCAAAGCCTTTGCTTCGAGATAAGGATAAATTATTTTCTTCATGATCACTTCCATTACTCACAACTTCTGCTGAATCATAGTGTTAATCAATTGCTGACTAACCTTTTACCTTGATGAACTGTCCCGAAGCACTCTAAACTCTGCTTGTCACTTCTCCCTGCTTTGCTCTTGCTTCGTGTAGAAGTTGCCAGTAGGCACAGATATTGGATCAGCTCACCCTCCCCTAATCCTAACCTTTACAGACAACAATGGAAAACTGACCTTAGATCAGCATCCATGGGGCAACTTCATCCTACTACTGCTTTATGCTGGCTTCGTTGTCCTCTGGTTGCTTTTTCCTCTTTCTGGATCCCTCCCTGTTGTTCCTCTGCCTTGTGTTGAAGGCCCCTTTGTAGACTGTGATCTCTCCCTGGTTTAAAGGTTCAGCTATCCTGAACACCCAACAACTGCTGTGGTCGAAGCAACCCCTGCATACGTCAAACCAGCCAGGAAAAGGTGACATGTTCTGGCACACCATTTCCTGTTATTGGGCGTGTTCCTGGGGTTCGAAGAAACACTAATTTCAGAAGCCTAAAGCATTTAAGTGTGGTGTGTGCACATGCTCCATTTACATGTATCCCTGTGTGTGTGGTTGGCAGTGCCATGCAGGACACCTGGATGAGCCCAGATGATGAGGGAAGTGCAGCAGCTGTGGAGTTCGTCGTACTCAGGAGACAAGTAAGCAGGCTAATTACCCCTTTACTGTTAGTGTGGCCTTACTCTGGTTCTGTCTATGCTGCCAGGTTGTGTAGCCAGTGTTTAACCAGTAGATGGAGCCAGAAGCCATATCTTATATATTTTCTTCTGGCCATTGTTGAGTCACTAATATTGCTTGTGTTATGGAGACTTGTATGTTGTATTTATGGAAGTTGTCCTTTCTCAAACACAAGCCTTCTCAGGCTCAGAAATCGAGACCATCTTTACACTACGACAAATGCTGTGTAAAAATAACCGGTTACTTACAGTATAACAGATCAGCACCTTTCTCTCTCGTGTCCAGGTGGTGAAGATGAGTCGTCGTCTGGCGGGTCTGGAGAGGCAGAACGCTGAATGCAGACAGACGGAGCTGGTGCTCTTCTCCCTGCTCCTTTCTGCCTGCCTGCTCAACGGATGGCTCTGGATACGCAGATAACAGACACACGTCGTTCAAACAGTCCACTCATCTGCACTACAACCCTAAGTCCACTCCAACTAAGTCCACTCCAACAAGCTACTTTGCTCAACTCTGCATTACACATCCACTCAGCTGGGTATTCCAGTGCACTTATTTACACACACATGTTGGTGTTAGATGCTGAGCACCTATCGTTTAAAATGACATCTCTTCCCTCATCTCCTTTCTTTCAAGGCCAGGGGAGGAAAGGAAGCTGTTTGGACCACTGTTAAGTAGGGAACGTTTTTACATGTGGCCTTATTTTCACTCTTTCTGTTCTTCTAGTTGATTCCCAAACCTTTTTAAAATATTTTGTTTCCTTACAGAGAAAATTGGTTGTCATCACTTGCCATTGACTATAATGCAATATCCAAATATGTCTAAAGCATATTAGAAAACTCTAAAACACTCCACATTACATAAGAATCCCATTCTGAATGATATCTCTTTACTCAATTTAGTTTTTCAAAAGTCCACTGTGCCATAAATCCATGTTTGAATGGTTCTGTTTACTACAACAATATGGATTTATTAGGACAGTGGAATAAATAAATAAAAATTGAGAGCAGAAACATAATTTAGATTTTGATGTGATATGTGACAGCCAATTTAATCTAACGAAACAAAACTATATATTAAAAATAAAACAGTTTGGGGGATCAACTACAAGCACAGAAAGTGAAAATAAGGCCACATGTAAAAATCTGTGAACTTCCCCTTTAAGTAGGGCCTTAGGACTGAGGATAGAATGAGAGTGTTGAAGAGTTAGAGGTGTGCATAAGTCACAAAAATGGACTAAATGTATTGTCAAGGTGGAGGCCGGCCAATTTCAACATAGTCAGGGATTGATCCATGTCATGTTTGCATAAAGTTTTGGCCGTCTCTGTGACCTGGACAGCTAGTGTTTACCACGGCTGGAGGAGGTGATAGGAAATGATGGTGTTACTGCTACATTCTGGTGGCTAAGTTGGATAATCAGATTCACATCATAGGTCTGTCAAAACACAACTTGTACAAACGTTTAACATTTCAATGTAGTTGGTAGTCTCTTCCCACAGTTGGTAACTGGTTTTAAGTATCTAGTATACTATTATGGCATGATTTACTTGGAACTCTTCAGACCTAAAGTGTAATCAGTTGCAGACAGTACATAGGTAAAGGTCCTTCTGTAAGACCTACACTATATATACAAAAGTATGTGGACACCCCTACAAATTAGTGGATTCGCGCTATTTCAGCAACACCGGTTGCTGACAGGTGTATAGAATTGAGCACACACCCATGCAATCTCCATAGACAAACAAACCGAGGACACGTTCTGTTGCAACACTCACTACTGAGTTCCAAACTGCCTCTGGAAGCAACGTCAGCACAAGAACTGTTCATCGGGAGCTTCATGAAATGGGTTTCCATGGCCGAGCAGCCGCACACAAGCCTAAGATCACCATGCGCAATGCAAAGCGTCGGCTGATGTGATGTAAAGCTCGCCGCCATTGGAATCTGGAGCAGTGGAAACGCGTTCTCTGGAGTGATGAATCACACTTCACCATCTGGCAGACCGACAGACGAATCTAGGTTTGGCGAATGCCAGGAGAATGCTACCTGCCCGACTGCTTAGTGCCAACTGTAAAGTTTGGTGGAGGAGGAGTAATATTCTGGGGCTGTTTTTCATGGTTTGGGCTAGGCCCCTTAGTTCCAGTGAAGGGAAATCTTAACGCTACAGCATACAATGACATTCTAGATGATTCTATGCTTCCATCTTCGTGGCAACAGTTTGGGGAAGGCCCTTTCCTGTTTCGGAGATGGCCCTTTCCTGTTTCAGGAAAGCGAGGTCCATACAGAAATGGTTTGTCAAGATCGGTGTGGAAGAACTTGACTGGCCTGCATAGAGCCCTGACCTCAACCCCATCGAACATCTTTGGAATGAATTGGAACGCCGGCTTCGAGCCAGGCTTAATCGCCCAACATCTGTGCCCGACTTCTCTAATGCTCTTGTGGCCGAATGGAAGAATGTCCACGCAGCAATGTTCCAACATCTAGTGGAAAGCCTTCCCAGAAGAGTGGAGGCTGTTATGGCAGCAAAGGGGGGACCAACTCCATATTAATGGCCATGATTTTGGATTGAGATGTTCGACGAGCAGGTGGCCACATACTTGGTCATGTAGTGTATATTTAATCAAGACATCAGTGAGACTTGTGTGTCTGCTTTTGAATGCCTGCGATATGAAGTGCTTTGAAGTCGGTTGCCTCAATGGCTTGAAACTTAACAAGTTTATCCAATGAAATTATATATGCAGTCATGTTTTTCACAGAAGTCAAATGATGTTAATCACAATGAATGTAAATGTTGCACTCATTTATTGCATGGGATTTCTTTTTCCATTTTCAAAGTTGCACTGGCTTTTCTTGTACATGTATTTAATAAATTAGATTTTATATTATGTTGAGTGAGGTATGTGTTGTCTGTTGGGTGTTTCAACTGCTTGAACCTTATCTTAGATAGTCTAGACCACCCAATTAAAATAAATGTGTAGTGTACATTACAATAGAGCATAATGCACAGAACAAACATGAGTCGCATTGTATATTTATTTATCAAAAAAATTAAATTAATTCTAAACCAAGAGAACTCACTTGAAACATTTGGAACATTGTCAGGAGTACATCAAAGTGAAACCACAAATAGAAACGGCATGAGATGATTTTTGTAAAAACCAGAATCTTGATTAGAATGACAATTTAATTAAACATGAATGGCGATTTTACAGCAGCGTCTGTTGTATGGACTTTGTGAAAATGGACCGAAATACTAGAATCTTTAAAGATGGTACTGGTAAACTCACCAACTATCTGCAACTTGATTGACCACAAACGTTAATACAAAGTTGGATGAGAATAATTCCCATCACCACACTGATATGGCAGGTCTGCAGGCACTTACTGCGCACATTGTGACATAAACATGTAAATGTTAAACACTTGTAACATGAGAGAACTTGTGAAATCGTCTGTTGTTTAACAGCACATATTTTTCCGCTCCTGGCTCAGAACACAGAGGGCCTTATGATTTAGGGTTGAAATTTGAAGCAAGACTCAAGGACTGGCCTTCGAGTGGGACAACAAAGAGTCGCTATCAGAACAGATTTTAAGTGGAACACCTTTGCTTTAAGAGTTGAATTAATGTAAGTATAAATGACATCTTCTGAAGCTTCAGGTGCATGCTGGTACATTACCTGATATTGGGGACTTTGAAATGTCTATATGATTGTCAGTCACACCATGAGAGAACATTTAATGCTCTCCCAATAAGTTGAATATTAAAATCCATTGGCCTTCTGAAAATGTAACCATTGAACATTTTTGATTTACATACGGTAAAACAGCAAGTGCAACTGATAGCCATCCAAATGAGCCTAAGCATGGCCAGATTACCGAACGGGCACGCAGGGCACATGTCCCCCATCCCCCCAAAAAACAAATACATTTGGGGTGTTGGGGCCCCACGAGGTCAGGGGCCCCCCAAATAGCATATGATAGAATAGCAGGAAATTTGCTTTAAAACTGCAACATTTTCTGAGCCTCATGGCAAAATGTGAACAAAAGCCTGATATAAGCTATAAAAAAGCAAATTTTTTCTCTGCCCCATGGCAAAAAGTGTAGAATTGCAGGAAATTAGCTTTAAAACGGCAACATTTTCTATTAGCCTCATGACAAATGTGTAAAATAGCATTATAAATGCCCGGAGGTCAGTGCCCTGGGGCCCCAAATGCGGTAGTATGGCCCTGAGCCTCAGCTGAAATGTAACAGCAAATAAAAAAAAATAAAAGCATTCAACCTCAATGTTCAGTCTCCAATCCCAGGGTCCATTGTCTATCCTGGACAGCCAACTTGACACTAGACAGGGAGAAATTGCCTCCTGTGCTGGAAATGTGCTTTTCATTCAGTTACAACACTGACATAGTTTTCTTAAACACTGGCCTACTAGCATCAGCCAGGTTGGAGAAATGTATATATGAGGGGACAGTTTGTTTGAGCAGGGGAAGTTCAATTTGTTGATGAGACACATTGTTGACCTTTGTGTGTTTTTTTTTTATGCCCCCCTTATAGACTTTTGAAACAACAGACGATAGTGGGGTCAAGCCTAGGTGACCGGCTGGTGGAGTGTTTATTTGGTCCCACATTTTTGGCTTTGGATTGGAAATGTTCACAACTGCTACCTTGATTGTGATCTGGGTGAATATTTCAAAGTCACTGTTAAAAAGTTGCTGATGTGATATATTATTTATATATATATATATATATATATATATATATATATATATATATATATATATATATATATATATATATATATATATATATATATATATATATGATCCTTGTCTTTAAAACGAGCTATAGATAAACTCATTCTGTTACCTTTGGTCAAAAGCAAGGGACATGTGCAGTTATGAAACTGGCTTGGATTTCAACTGCTAACACTATTTTATCACCACATAGGCTGCATTTACACAGCCAGACCAATTGCTGATCTAATTGGTCAAAAGACCAATTAATGGAAAAAGATCAGAATTGGTCTGCTTTTAAAGGCAGCCCTATAGTGTCATATACAGTGCATTCGGAAAGTATTCAGACCCCTTCACTTTTTCCACATTGTTACATTACAGCCTTATTCTAAAATGGATGAAATGAAACATTTTCCTCATCAATCTACACACAATACACTATAATGACGAAGCGAAAACAGGTTTTTATAAATGTTTGCAAATGTATTAAACCTAAAAATCACTTATTTACATAAGTATTCAGACCCTTTGCTCTGTGACTCGAAATTGAGCTCAGGTGCATCCTGTTTCCATTGATCATTCTTGAGATGTTTCTACAACGTGATTGGAGTCCACTTGTGGTAAATTCAATTGATTGGACATGATTTGGAAAGGCACACACCTGTCTATATAAGGTCCCACAGTTGACAGTGTATGTCAGAGCAGAAACCAGGCCATGAGGTCAAAGGAATTGTCCGTAGAGCTCTGAGACAGGATTGTGTCAAGACACAGATCTGGGGAAGGGTACCAAAACATTTCTGCAGCATTGAAGGTCCCCAAGAACACAGTGGCCTCCATCATTCTTAAATGGAAGAAGTTTGGAACCACCAAGACTCTTCCTAGAGCTGGCCGCCTGGCCAAACTGAGCAATCGGGGGTGAAGGGCCTTGGTCAGGGAGGTGACCAAGAACCCGATGGTCACTCTGACAGAGCTCCAGAGTTCCTCTGTGGAGATGGGAGAATCTTCCAGAAGGACAACCATCTCTGCAGCACTCCACCAATCAGGCCTTTATGGTAGAGTGGCCAGACGGAAGCCACTCTTCAGTAAAAGGCACATGACAGCCCGCTTGGAGTTTGCCAAAAGGCACCTAAAGGACTCTCAGACCATGAGAAACAAGATTCTCTGGTCTGATGAAACCAAGATTAAACTCTTTGGCCTGAATGCCAAGCGTCATGTCTGGAGGAAACCTGGCACCATCCCTACGGTGAAGCATGGTGGTGGCAGCATCATGCTGTGGGGATGTTTTTCAGCAGCAGGGACTGGGAGACTAGTCAGGATTGAGGGAAAGATGAACAGAGCAAAGTACAGAGAGATCCTTAATGAAAACCTGCTCCAGAGCGCTCAGGACCTCAGACTGGTGCGAAGGTTAACCTTCCAACAGAACAATGACCCTAAGCATACAGCCAAGACAACGCAGGAGTGGCTTCGGGACAAGTCTCTGAATGTCATTGCCAGAGCCCGGACTTGAACCCGATCAAACATCTCTGGAGGGACCTGAAAATAGCTGTGCAGCGACGCTCCCCATCCAACCTGACAGAGCTTGAGAGGATCTGCAGAGAAGAATGGGAGAAACTCCCAAAATACAGGTGTGCCAAGCTTGTAGCGTCATACCCAAGAAGACTCGAGGCTGTAATCGCTGTCAAAGGTGCTTCAACAAAGTACTGAGTAAAGGGTCTGAATACTTATGTAAATGTGATATTTCCATTTTTTTATGTTTAATACATTTGCAATAATCTCTAAAAACCTGTTTTTGCTTTGTCATTATCCGGTATTGTGTGCAAATTGATGAGGGGAAAAAACGATGTAATTCATTTTAGAATAAGGCTGTATTGTAACAAAATGTGGAAAAAGTCAAGGGGTCTGAAGACCTTTTGAATAAACTGTATATACACAATGCTAATCAAGCTTGTAAATTTGTGTAGGTGTAGAAGGACAGCTGATTACCAGAATGTCTGATCGTTGCATAAACTAGAAGTTAAAATCCCAACGGACTATTTTAGGCCTAATATCATTTGAAGCAAGTCTGGGCAGAAGACCCTAACCAAACCCAGCCAGACTGGAATGAATTAACTGAACCTTATAACTGAAGCATAGGCACATAGGTGAACACCAAACCTCTTCTACTGCACTTAAGAGACTGACCCCATCCAGTGGGGTCACACAGGCAGCACATTGGACCACAGTAGAAATGTGTGATTCTCGCTCCCCCAAGTTCTCCACTGTGACATGTGGGGCCGGGCCCCCAATACTTTAAACAGTGCATTGTGGTCCTTGGCTGGCAGTGCCATGTAACTGAATGGCTTCTAAAAACCTATTCGATTCAGTTCAGTTAAATGATACACATGCCATACATACAGTATCTAAATACAGTATTTACAGGTTAAAATAATGTTTTGTAGTTTACAATATATCTTTGATTACCCAAGTGCCACATCTAACATTGGTGAATAATGTACTACCACACATAAATAGAATACCTAAGTCAGACTAAACGTTAAAAAAAAAACTTTTGAAACACACAGAAAAATAAGTAGTGCAATAAATGCAACGAATGGTAGCCAATACATTTGGTCCAAGGGGGCTAGTTAACCAATAGCCTCCAGCAACACTGTACAAGAGAGTTAATGGATCATTCTGATGACACTAAAACCTCCCAACTCAAACTGTACACGGTATTGCTAATTAAAAACACATCTAAAAAAGTAGTGCATTTTAACACACCCTCGGTCACCAGACAACTAGTTAAACACCAAACACATTTTTTTTAAAGGAAAAAAGTAATCCTTCACCTATTTTGAAAGTGTATGTATGAATGTGTTTGTGTGTATCGATTGTGCACAAACACACATTGCCCTCCGTCCTGTCCTGTGACCTACAGTGAGGGAAAAAAGTATTTGATCCCCTGCTGATTTTGCACATTTGCCCACTGACAAAGAAATGATCCGTCTATAATTTTAATGGTATATTTATTTGAACAGTGAGAGACAGAATAACAACAACAAAAATTTCAGAAAAACGCATGTCAAAAATGTTATAAATTGATTTGCATTTTAATGAGGGAAATAAGTATTTGACCCCCTCTCAATCAGAAAGATTTCTGGCTCCCAGGTGTCTTTTATACAGGTAACGAGCTGAGATTAGGAGCACACTCTTAAAGGGAGTGCTCCTAATCTCAGTTTGTTACCTGTATAAAAGACACCTGTCCACAGAAGCAATCAATCAGATTCCAAACTCTCCACCATGGCCAAGACCAAAGAGCTCTCCAAGGATGTCAGGGACAAGATTGTAGACCTACACAAGGCTGGAATGGGCTACAAGACCATCGCCAAGCAGCTTGGTGAGAAGGTGACAACAGTTGGTGCGATTATTTGCAAATGGAAGAAACACAAAAGAACTGTCAATCTCCCTCAGCCTGGGGCTCCATGCAAGATCTCACCTCGTGGAGTTGCAATGATCATGAGAACGGTGAGGAATCAGCCCAGAACTACACGGGAGGATCTTGTCAATGATCTCAAGGCAGCTGGGACCATAGTCACCAAGAAAACAATTGGTAACACACTACGCTGTGAAGGACTGAAATCCTGCAGCGCCCGCAAGTTCCCCCTGCTCAAGAAAGCACATATACATGCCCGTCTGAAGTTTGCCAATGAACATCTGAATGATTCAGAGGAGAACTGGGTGAAAGTGTTGTGGTCAGATGAGACCAAAATGGAGCCCTTTGGCATCAACTCAACTCGCCGTGTTTGGAGGAGGAGGAATGCTGCCTATGACCCCAAGAACACCATCCCCACCGTCAAACATGGAAGTGGAAACATTATGCTTTGGGGGTGTTTTTCTGCTAAGGGGACAGGACAACTTCACCGCATCAAAGGGACGATGGACAGGGCCATGTACCGTCAAATCTTGGGTGAGAACCTCCTTCCCTCAGCCAGGGCATTGAAAATGGGTCGTGGATGGGTATTCCAGCATGTCAATTACCCAAAACACATGGCCAAGGCAACAAAGGAGTGGCTCAAGAAGAAGCACATTATGGTCCTGGAGTGGCCTAGCCAGTCTCCAGACCTTAATCCCATAGAAAATCTGTGGAGGGAGCTGAAGGTTCGAGTTGCCAAACGTCAGCCTCGAAACCTTAATAACTTGGAGAAGATCTGCAAAGAGGAGTGGGACAAAATCCCTCCTGAGATGTGTGCAAACCTTGTGGCCAACTACAAGAAAGGTCTGACCTCTGTGATTGCCAACAAGGGTTTTGCCACCAAGTACTAAGTCATGTTTTGCAGAGGGGTCAAATACTTATTTCCCTGCAAATCAATTTATAAAAAATTTTACATGCGTTTTTCTGGATGTTTTTGTAGTTATTCTGTCTCTCACTGTTCAAATAAACCGACCATTACAATTATAGACGGATCATTTCTTTGTCAGTGGGCAAACTTACAAAATCAGCAGGGGATCAAATACTTTTTTCCCTCACTGTATAGAGGCCACGGTTCAGAGGTCAGGAGTTGAGGTTCAGATGAGGACCTCCACCATGTCGTTGTCCACCTCCTGTTGAGAGGCTGATGGGGGCTGGGGGTGGGACTGCACAGGGGCGCGCCTCTCCAGGGTACTGCTATGGAACACAGGCACATCTACAGACACACAGGGAGAAGGTTAGTCAACTGATCAAAGGGAACGTCTACCCCCAAAACAAAGACTCATCATAGTCCCCAATCCACATATAGAGCACGACTTTTGACCAGAGCCACATACAGTGCCTTCAGAAAGTGTTCATACCCCTTGACCTATTCAACATTTTGTTGTGTTACAGCCTGAATTCAAAATGGATTAAACAGATTTTTCCCCCTCACCCATCTACACACAATACCCCATAATGACAAAGTGAAAACATGTTTTTAGACAATTTAGCGCATTTATTGAAAATGAAATACAGAAATATATAATTTACATAAGTATTCAATACTTTGCAGAAGCACCTCTGGCAGTGATTACAGCTGTGAGTCTTTCTGGACCCCTGTAGCTCAGTTGGTAGAGCATGTCGCTTGCAACGCCAGGGTTGTGGGTTCGTTTCCCACGGGGGGCCAGTATGAAAATGTATGCACTCACTTAACTGTAAATCGCTCTGGATAAGAACGTCTGCTAAATGACTAAAAATGTAAATCTCTAAGAGCTTTCCACACCTGGATTGTGCAACATTTGGCCATTACTCTTTTCAAAATTCTTTAAGCTCTGTCAAATTGGTTGTTGATCATTGCTAGACAACCCTTTTCAGGTCTTGCCATAGATTTTCAAGCAGATTTAAGTCAAAACTGTAACTCGGCCATTCAGGAACATTCACTGGCTTCTTGTAAGCAGCTCCAGTGTAGATTTAGCCTTGTGTTTTAGGTTATTGTACTGCTGAAAGGTGAATTCATCTCCCAGGCTTTTGGTGGAAAGCAGACTGAAACAGGTTTTCCTCTAGGATTTTGCCTCATTCTGTTTCTTTTTTATCCTGAAAAACTCTCCAGTCCTTATCGATTACAAGCATACCCATAACATGATGCAGCCACCACCATGCTTGAAAATATAATAATAATAATAATAATAATATGCCATTTAGCAGACGCTTTTATCCAAAGCGACTTACAGTCATGCGTGCATACATTTTTTTTTTTTTTTTTTGTGTATGGGTGGTCCCGGGGATCGAACCCACTACCTTAGCGTTACAAGCGCCGTGCTCTACCAGCTGAGCTACAGAGGACCACTATGAAGAGAATATGAAGAGTGGTACTCTGCATTGTGTTTTTTGCCCCAAACATAACACTATGTATTCAGGACATTGTTATGCCACATTTGTTGGGAGTATTACTTTAGTGCCTTGTTGCAAACAGGATGCATGTTTGGAATATTTGTATCCTTTTCACTCTGTCAACTAGGTTAGTATTGTGGAGTAACTACAATGTTGTTGATCCATCCTCAGTTTTTTGCTATCACAGCCATTAAACTCTAACTGTTTTAAAGTCACCATTGGCCTCATGGTGAAATCCCTGAGCGGTTTCCTTCTTCTCCGGCAACTGAGTTAGGAAGGACACCTGTATCTTTGTAGTGACTGGGTGTATAGATACACCATCCAAAGTGTAATAAATAACTTCACCATGTTCAAAGGGATATTGAATGTCTGCTTCTACCAATAGGTGCCCTTCTTTGTGAGGCATTGGAAAACCTCCCTGGTCTTTGTGGTTGATTCTATGTTTGAAATTCACTGCTCGTCTGAGGGACCTTACAGATAATTGTATGTGCAGGGTACAGAGATGAGGTAGTCCTGTTAAACACTAAAATCCTGTTAAACACTTATTGTGACTTGTTAAGCATATTTTTACTCCTGAATTTAATTAGGCTTTCCATAACAAAGGGGCTGAATACTTATTGACTCAAGACATTTCAGCTTTTCATTTTGTATTAATTTGTTTTAAAAAATCCACTTTTACATTATGGGGTATTGTGTGTAGGACAGTGACAAAAAAAAAAAAAAATGTTATACATTTAATATTCAGACTAACACAAAAAAATGTGGAAAAAGTCAAGGAATGTGAATACTTTCTGAAGGCACTGTAAGTGGTGCACTATAAAGGGAATAGGTGATTTACCTTAGAGAAAATAATATCCAGCACACTATATTTGATAGGATATTTGACCCCATATTACCCATCCAGAGCATCTGACCCACTCTCGCTTATCCACTTCCCCTCCAGCTACTGTATTGGTTTCATAACTCCACTTCTTTAAATGGTTGAAACAAATGTGTAGTTCCTAGATTATTTCTTGAATTAGTCTCGCAACACGTCAAAACAGATTTTAAACAAAACTCTATTTGTTCTTGGTTAGATCATTTTCCTAGAAACGATTCAGGTCAGTCTATTGCCTGAAGTGATGGGCCACACTAACAATCACAAGCGTTGTTTACCATTCTGCAACGTTAGCACTCCACATTGCAGCGGCATCCTCGTGGGTCAGGTCTAGATTAATTCAACGTTTATATTTCTCAAATTGCAGACAGCAAACACTCAATATTAACTGGGTCTGACTCTGGACCCTAGTTAAAGGCTATAATTAAAGCCTATAATTAGGACCTGTGGTCAGGAAAAACCCCTGGCCCTACTTGTGTCCACGGCGGACTACACAAAAAAATCTCTAATGTAATATACTGTAACATAGCCCTAAAGATGGCAGCTTGCCCTGTCCTACTGTACCTGCGATGCGGTCTGGTATGTAAACAGGGCTGGGGCTGGAGAGTCGGCTTGGCAGGGTCATGCTCTGCAGGGCTGGGGTGCTGGGCTTGCTGCTAGCCTCCTGACCCTGACCCTTGTCTGTCTGGGTGCAGCTGTCCCTGCTGCCTGTCTTAGAGTGGCCCGCTGTCAGGGGCAGGACCGGGGAGGGAGATGACGAGATGGACTCTGCCCTCAGAGAGTCAGTACGGTACTCTGGACCCAACAGAACTCCTGAGGGGAGGGAACAGAGGAGACCTGTAAGACATCTGGTGGTGCTGGGTTACCCATGACAAGCTCTCAAGTTTTTGTATTAACGCACATGGAAGCAAGTTGAAGTAGATAGTAAATAAGAACACATAGTACATTCATAATACACACAACAATTAAGCAGCATTCATTCAGTCCATACTGAAAATATCAAAATCTGAGTGAGCCAGCAGCAGAGCCAGCAGCACAGCACCATTGCATAATATTTAACTTCCCACCCTCCTTCAAGACCACGAGATTGTTATTCAGCCTGATGATTACTACTGAACTGTACATTCCATACCCACAGCTGATGACCATTCATGTCCTTGACACCCTCCACACCCATTTGTCTGTCCATCACCATGTTCTGACTAACACATCTCAGAGGCCTGTGAATCAACTTCCTGTACTCTCCCTGCCCTCTTCCTCCTAACCAGATTTCCAGCTGTTGTCCCTCTACCCTGCATCTGAAATTACACCCTATGCCCCTTACAGTGCACTACTTTTCACAAGAGCCCTAGGCTGAGTCTAGTCAAAAGTAGTGCACTATATGGTATATAAGGAATAATGTGTTATTGGAAATCTCCCCTCAAGTCTGCAGTTCCAGTATCTACCCCACTCAATTCAAATGTATCCATCAAATATAAGAAGGGGAAATTTAAATAGCCTTTGTCATGTGGCACATAGCACACAACATAACATGAAAACCAACAGCATTCCCACCCAAGCTGCCCTTCCAGCTGCTGTCCTTGCGCTCCTCTGTGATGGGCGAGCTGCTGAGGCCAAGGCTGTGGGAGAGCAGGCCAGAGCCACCCGTATTGGCGATGGACATCAGGGATTTGGAGGGCCGCATGATGGCCTGGGCGTCCCGGTCCTTGCTGGGATCCTTCCTGGAACGCTGGTGGAGCACCTTGATCATGGCATCCTTCTCAATGATCTGGGCGTGCAGGTTCTTGATCCTGTGGGACGGGACATGAGTACAGTTATTCAAATAAAAGGAAGTAAAACATCCTGTAATGTGCAGACTGCATTAAATGTACCGTAGGGACTTCTTTTGTGTTCTGTATGATCAGTGAGAACAATGAGAGTTATAGACTGGGTTTGACTGGGGTCATGGTTACTTTGCTGTACTGAGGTTATGGGGGTAGGGTAAGTGGTCGTGTTAGGCTGATAAGGATAGTATCTGTACAGTGGTTTGTACAGAATACATTTAATATTATATCAAATGTATAGGTTAAACACTTCTCCAGGCATTTTGAAGATCTGTTGATCTGAATAGACTTGCGAAAATGTGTCTCAAAAACACAGCTATTTACCTGCTCTCCATGTCTAGACAGCGGCGGTTGGCCATGAGGATCTCCTCCTCCTCCTTCTGGATACGAGCCTCCACTGACAGCTGCTGCTCATAGCTGCTGCTGGGGGAGTGGCTTATCACCGACGACAACGTGTCCCTCTGGGTGGCGACAGAGGCGGCGGCGTCCAGGGCAAACTGCCTCATGACGCTCTCCTCCAGGTATTTCTGCTCCCACTTGGTCATGTCTGCCTCCAGGGCCAGGATTCTCTCCTCCTTCTCCCTCAGGTGCTCCATCAGGGCCGTGGCACTGTACTCCTGACCACTGCTGCTGCTCTGGGAGCCCCCTTGTCTCTGGATGGGGGAGGGGAGACAATGGGGGTGGAAGGTATGGTCGTCGGTAAACCTCACAATTATTCAAGAGCTCAACCACCATCCAATTGAGCCATCAACTCGCAGTCACAGGCACTGATGCATTTGTATTACAAATACACACAATTGCTGCCTACCAACACTGGCTGGTAGAGAGGCAGGGCTCCAAGTCTGTCTGTAGTCTTTGTTGACCAGGCAGTCTGCCCAAAGGCTTGAATGAAATATACATACGGCTGCTCTTCCTCTCTCTCTCCCTTCCCAGACAGAACCTCTGGTGTTCTGTCAGCTGCAACCTTTCCCCCACATTCCCAGCATCCCCCTGGCCTGGAGGACCTGGCTGCGCTCTAGTAATGGGTAAACATTCTGTGGTGCTCCGCTTGGACACACAGGAAGAGACAATGACATTTATGGAAGATAATATTTTGGGACTGGGAGAGGGAGAGCCTGAAATTCTGGGTCAGGACACCCTGCTAACGCTGACTGCAGCTGAGACACTGCTTTGTCTCCAAGTGTCTTTAACACACTGTGCATGTCTCACCTGCTGCATGCGCAGTGACTCCAGCTCCCTTTCCAGCCGCGTGCGTAAGCGGTGCTCCAGCTGCTCTCTCTTCTCACAGGCAGCCTGGAGCTGGGCCAGAGCCTGCTGCATGCGCTCCACCTTCTCCACATACACCTGCTTCTTCTTCAGCTGCAGAGAGACAAAACACAGACAGTATGTGGTCAGGGCACAGAAAGGAAGTAGACAGGAAGTAGGGGGTCTGCATTCCATTACAGAAACCTGCTCCCCTTTTAGCCCGACTTGTCCCCTTCTGACTGGGTTGGTGAAAGCAATAGTTTCACCTTATTTGCGCCACAATATAATTGCTCTCACCTATTCAGTCATATTAGGTATTTGACGAGGAGTTAAATACGGCCAGGGAGGAGACAGGGAAACAGGTGAGACTTTGTTTCATCCCTTGCCCCCTTTCCTCCAAACCAGTAGAGGCTCCTCTGAGGAGGAAGGGGAGGACCATCCTTCTCAGTGAATTTCATTTAAAAAAAAAAAAGTAAAACATTGAAAAAGTTATCAATTTTAGATAAAAATATACTAAATATATTCACGTCACCAAATAATTTATTAAAACACACTGTTTTGCAATAAAGTCTACAGTAGCCTCAACACCACTCTGTAGGGTAGCACCATGGTGTAGCCGGAGGACAGCTAGCTTCCGTCCTCCTCTTGGTACATTGACTTCAATACAAAACCTAGGAGGCTCTTGGTTCTCACCTCCTTCCATAGACTTACACAGTAATTATGACAACTTCCAGAGGACGTCCTCCAACCTATCAGAGCTCTTGCAGCATGAACTGACATGTTGTCCACCCAATCAAAGGATCAGAGAATTAATCTAGTAATGAAAGCATAAACTACAGCTAGCTAGCACTGCAGTGCATAACATGTGGTGAGTAGTTGAGTCAAAGAGAGAGAAAGACAATAGTTGAACAGTTTTCAACAAATTAATTTATTCAAAAATTAAGGAGAAGCGAGAGAGTGTCATTTCTTTTCACTTTCAGTTTCACTTACTTAGCTAGAAAATGCAGCTGGCTAGTTTAGTTACTCAAACACCCGGCTCAAACAGAGGGATGCTATGTTAGCTAGCTGGCTATGACTATCCAACAACACTGGAACCCTTCGAAGTAAGCAAGGTAAGCTTTTGGTTTTATTAATTTATTGCCACCGGGGCCCGCCGGTGTAACGCTTACTGACTATACACTGTAACATTACTGCATGATTGTAGCGGGTTTACTAACGCATTAGTTATATTAGCTATGTTGACTAAGACATTACTTTAGCTAATATGGGGACAACGATGTAGGCTGTGTGTAACGGTTATGACATGGTTTGGCTTGGAAATGTTTTTTCAACTTGTCACATATAGCTGATGTGTTGTTCATTTAAGTCCACAAACGAAGGGAAAAGGTGAGAGGAGAGTGCATAGAGGCGAGAAGGAATACAACGTGGCTGCTATGAAAGTGAACTGTGTTTATGACTGATCAGGGGTGTATTCATTCTGCCGATTCTGTTGAAAAACGTTTCTTAAACGGGGATAAAAATACCAGAATTTGTCCAATAGAAACTCTCGTTTGCAACTGTTGAACTAATGATTACACCCTAGATAAGCTAGATGCAGGCAAGAGCGTGCAAGGCGGTATTGAATGTGTCACTGTCTATCCATGTGTCACTGTCTGTCATCTCAAATGTTTCTCTCGACCTGTGTGCACCTACAGTATGTTGTAAACTTTCATTCATAGTCTAGGTTGTAGCAACCTCATGATTGGTATAGGGGAAATGTGAGTATCATGTAGTAGCCTAAACCTATCGATGTTATATTGAACTGGGTGAATGGAATATGAATGACAGTCATCCAACATGCTGTAATAGAAATAAGGCCATGCTCATTAAAAAAAAAAGTTGTCCTCCCTCATCATAAACGGCACTGACCGCCACTGCTCCAAACAACCCCCACCCAGTGACCAACCCCAACAGCCCACTCCAAGATAATGCAGTTATTGTGTACCCAATGCCTATGTCTCAAAGTCCCTCTGCACTGCAGCCCCTTTGAACTGCAGCAGGAGCTATAACTGTGGCTCCACTCAATGGACTGATTTAGCTCAGGGAGACTCTCTGTAAAGAAAGAGAGGAAAAGAGAGAAAGAGGGAGAAATAGAGAAGCATATACAATGTTCCCACACAGAGGAGAGAGAGAGCAGGCAAAGAATCTGGCCCTGTTCAGAGCTCTTTCATGGCAAATATAAAACTCCATCTCAACAGCCTTTGTTCGGGGAAACAAGCAGGCGTTTGTGGTGGTGCCGGGCAGAAGAAGCGGAGCAGCCCTGTGCTTTTTAGGACACTACCGGTCCGTTTCCCGCTCCACTCAGCCCCCTGGCTAACTGGCCCTCTGGGCTGTGGCCAGGCTATTTCAGACACATTACCAGCCAACCAACAGAACCAACCAGCCAGGGGCATCAATGCTCGGAGCAGCTCCAGTTTTCCACAGGGGAGTTCTGTCCAGGCCCACACAAGGCCACAGAGGCCTTTTGCATTCCTCTGGCCTCTAGCAGGCTAGACCAGGGGCAGGGGTGATCTAGCCTCTAGTCATCAGGGACAGCTATCTGCTCACTGTAGTGGGACATACTGATCTTATCAGAAACACTGACTTCTGAGGGAAGCAACTTCAAAGAGGAAGGAGCTTTATTTTTGGGATTGTTTGTAGTTTTCACTGTTTTGGATCTGACTAGTAGCAGTTGCTTCGTTAACAAGAAATTATGTTTTGAGTAAATGTAAACCCACTTTGCAGTCTTCGATCTTACCTTCTAAACAGTGCAAACCAACCCCATGGATGACAACTGAACACATACCAGACCCTGTCATCAGCCAATAATGTAATCAATACCAGGTGATAGGATGGATGACATGGTGACACAACCAGAGAAAGACAGGGAAGATAGCTAGACCATTTTACACTCAACAGAAAGTCATGCCTATGCTTGTCCATCAGGGGGCATAAATATACCCTCGAACTTAACCTCTCGTGGACAGATGAAACGGCGAGAATCTGTCAAGGCTATGTGATTATGAGCAGCAGTAGTTCCTGGTTTTGGGTTTTCGTCGTTGATTATTTGGACAAATCAGGATTGGGTGAAGGTGATTTTCAAGCCGTGTGCGGATGATAAGAGGTTTCCACTAGATTCCACATCCACAAATTCAAAATTGTCTATCGTAAAATTCATGAAAACAGGCATTTGCTTTTTGGCCATGATAAACATGGGTGAAATTAGCAGAAGGGAGGGGTTTGGCCGAGAGTTTCCGTTTGCGAGGGAGGAGACTTCGCTTCCTTCCTTTTCACAAAGGTAATCATAATTGTTATTGACATCCCCCCAGAAGAAAAAAGGAATTGACAAACTTTCGTGATAGAACTTTACTTCTGGGTAACCGAGATTACGTCGAGCTCAATCAACTGAACTCATGCCAGGATGAACTCAAGTATCCAAGACATTTCTTATATCACCTATTCAAATCAAATTTTATTTGCCACATGCGCCGAATAAAACAGGTGTAGACCTTACAGTGAAATGCTTACTTACAAGCCCTTAACCAACAATGCAGCTTCATGAAGCAACAGTGAGAACATTATGATACATAAAGCTTGTTAGACTAAGTAAGATCCTCACCTCTTCCTCTAGTTTGACTACTTTGGCCTGGGCGTTGTTGAGAGCCTGATCTCTGATCTCGATGTGTCGTCTCTGGTCGTCCGTGGTGGAGCGCAGGGCGTTCAGCTCTATCTCCAGCTTCTCCTTCTCACGCACCGTCTCTTTGTCTGGGAGACACATACACAACACACTGAAGACTAGCCCTCTGAAGAAGGGATCTTCCTTTCATTTACTAAAGTAGTTATGTCATGAGCTTACTTTTTGCTCTGATGAAGGTCTGATGACTGAAAGCTCTGCCTAACAAATGTAAAATTGTACATTGATCCTGAGTGTGTGAAGGTTCCTTTTCATTTCAATGAGCTTACTTTCTTAAATGACACTGCCCATATGAACTAAACATCGTAAACTATGTGTTTTGTGTGTGTGTCATTTTTGGTAAAGGCCCAGTGCAGTCAAAAATGTAGTTTTCCTGTGTTTTATATACACTGAGTATACAAAACATTGTATAAAATGTTTTCCATGACATAGACTGACCAGGTAAAAGCTATGATCCCTTATTGATGTCACCTGTTAAATCCACTTCAATCAGTGTAGATGAAGGGGAAGAGACAGGTTAAAGGTTTTTTAAGCCTTGAGACAATTGAGACATGGATTGTGTACGTGTGCCATTCAGAGGGTGAACAGGCAAGATAAAATATTTAAGTGCCTTTAAACAGGGTATGGTAATAGGTGCCAGGCGCACCAATTTGTGTCAAGAACTGCAACGCTGCTGGGTTTTTCACGCTCAACAGTTTCCCGTGTGTATCAAGAATGGTCCACCACCCAAAGGACATCCAGCCAACTTGACACAACTGTGGGAAGCATTGGAGTCAACATTGTCCAGCATCCTTGTTGAAAGCTTTCAACACCTTGTAGAGTCCATGCCCCGACAAATTGAGGCTGTTCTGAAGGCGAGGGCGGGGGCGGGGGCAAGGGGGTGCAACTCAATATTAGGAAGGTTTTCCTAATGTTTGGTATACCCAGTGTATATTTCCACAGTATGAGGTTGGAAAAATACTGTGAAATTGTGAAAATTATGATAATGCCCTTATAGTGTAAGAGCTGTTTGAAAAGACAGCCTGACATTTCTGCCTGTTTTGGTGGGATGGAGTTTTGGCCTGCTTGGTGACATCACCAGGCGGTACATTTGTTAATAGACCAATAAGAAAGAGAGTTCCAAACCTCTCTGCCAATAAAAGCTAGTTTTCAGGTTTCCCCTCTCCACTCAAACCACTCCCAGACAGTCCTAGCAAAATGTATCTTTGCTAAAAAGCTATTTTTGTTTATTTTCAAACATTTTAATTGAACACAATCACAGTAAGGTACTTCATTGTTAACCAGAAATGATTTGATATTGAGATAAAAATGGCTGCATTGGACCTTTAAAAACAGTGACTTGAATGACATTTCTAGTGGATATGTAGTGTTCTACAGTACATGTACCACAGACCCTTTGCCTGGTTATGTTCCTAACTGATGAGGCCACACAGAGGTATGTTCAGAGTGGATGTAGAATGTTGGAGAGGCCTGGCCTGGTGTTCCCTGGTAGCTGTGTTAGTGATGTACTCACTCTGGGTGAGTAGCTGAGAGATGGTCTTGCGGTTGTCTTCCGATCCCTCACACTCCTTAGCAGCTAGCTGCTTGTTGGCAGTTTCCATTCGCTCTGCAACAGAGAATGTCATTGCCAAAGTCAGGTCAGAGCCAGCCTGAGGGTCTAGTGGCCAAAGAGACACACTCTGAGCACACACAAATGCCTGTGTGAACACACACATGCATGCAAACTTGTGCGCGCGCACACAAAGGCATACACAAATATGCTCTAATTCTCATAAATCAAATCTTTGCAGGAAATTAGATCATAAAATGGCAAGACACATGTTCAAACTGGGGAATTAAGCTCCTTAAAGAGAACACTGTTAAACTCTTTGCAGAGTTGCACATTCAATGTGGTCATCCTCTAGTTAATATGCAGGATATGCATGGTATGTATGGGGATTTTGGTGCTATTAAACAGCTCAAACAGACTTTCAACATACAGCTCTGTGATTGTGTAAATGTAGCCATACAGACAGAGGGGCCATGGATTTAAGTGAATATGGAGGTGGAGGGAATTCACAATCCTCTGAAGAGAATTTAATAGGCCTGGACTCGGAGTCGACGTGGAACTTAAGTTCTTAAGATCCCAGCCTTCGTTCCACGCACATAAAACGCCTTGGGGCCCGGTTGCTCGGCAAAATGGAGAAAACAAAAATAAAACAATAACTTCACATGCACACATTTCCCCGCAGAGGGAGAGGAGGAGGTCCTCATTCTCTAATGGAGTCAGGAGAAAATTGGCCTGAAACAAAACAGGCCATTATTTCTGGTCCAAACGTTAAAATAATATTTAGTTGAGTGTTAAGTCAACCAGGCTGGGCCATGAAACATCCACAGAGAGCATTCCTGAAACAAATATTCAGATGTTCCATTTCCATTCCCTGTGTTTCTCGAAACAGAACAATGAGTGGGATATACATTTACCCTAAACCCACGAAAGTGAAGCGAGATATCCATTTCACATGTATAAGGCTGCCAATACGATAGGAGAAAAAAAGAGAGGAAGGAGAGACCTAAAAAAAGGTTTCTTTGCGATTTGTTGTAAAAGCATGGAATCTCTCCATGGACCGGGCTAGGCAGAGAGCCAGGGAGCCATGGACCCGATCTGGGCAGGGAGCCATGAATGGAGGTTTTTCTTTCCTCTGCAGGACTGAAGAGCTTAGTGAGGTAGAAAGTAGAGACATGAAACTGCCCCCACCCACTGGGCTTCCGCTCAGCACTTCGTACAGAAACAGAGAGTGAAGATTGGAACTCTAAGGGTCTTTGGTCTTCTTTATAGTAAGGTATGAAGTTGAGACTTTGGACTGCCTGTAAACACTAACATATCCCATTGATTGATCATATTGATTCATTAACAGATCAACCAATTGATTGCTCTTTTACTTTTGCTCAGTACTTTTTCTCTGTGCCACAGTCAATGCACAGTAGTACCATTATGAACAAGACCAGTTTCAACATCACATCACTGTAAAATGCTCATAAACCGGACCAGACGAAATTGGTGAAAGCTGGATATCTCCAAGTCCTCAGAAAATCCATTCAAATCAAACATACCAGTGCAATCAATGCAAACACAGCTTCTAAACATGAATAAATACTACTGAACAAATATGCAGGCAACGCTATTGAGGTATCCCAAATCTAATGCAGAAAGGACACAAACCACACACTTACCTCCTAAAAAGTTTTTTTTTTTTTTTTTTTATAAATGTAGCTTGGAATAGGTTTCATCTACTGCCATAAATCCATGAACAGGTATCCTTTGAACATTAAACTATTATTTTGACCAGCAGGACCTGGTAACCTACATAATGGATATGTATGCATGCCATGGACATTCCAGCTGATTGTGACCTAATACCTCTGAGGTCCCTGTTGAAGTCGTGCAGCCTGCGCACCTCCAGCTCCAGCTTGTTCCTCATGGTCTTCTCCAGAGCCTCCCTTTTAGTGGATGACTTGGCCAGGTTTTCGTAGGCCTCAGACACCAACGTGATCTCTGTCTCCAACTGACCAGGGAGAGAGAGAGAGAGAGGGGGGGGGGGGGGGGGGGGGGAGTTATGCCCAATTCCAAATCCACCCCTAGCCACTTGTGTGGATCTAAAAGGATTGGATGGGTGTAAGCAGTATGGCAGAAGAGGGAAAGGTGGAAATATAACCACACTTCTTATAGCCATCCAAACGTTTCAGATCTACATGAAGTGTCCAACATAGTGACTCTCAGGGTTGTAACAGATTACAAAAAAACTAACTATAATCAGTTACATTACCAGCAAAAATATTGTAATCAGATTACAGATACTTTTGAAAAACTAGATGATTACTTCTAGGATTCGTTTTAAAAATTCAGAAATTATTTGACACCTTTCTGTTTTCAACATTGAAAAAAGGCGCAAGCTTAAATTTGTTCCGCCTGAGCCAGTGTGATCACAAATCAGAGACCACTATGATGACACACCAAATGCATTTGATGGGATCGCAGGAAAAGACCAGGAATGGGCTTTTGTAGGCTACAGTCCAAGATGTGTCTTCCAATGGTGCAACTGCTGTCGGCATCCAAAGATTATCCAATTTGAATAAATGCTTGGAGGTAAGGATGACAGCAATGGTCTAGCCTACGGGTGATACGGATATCACTTATTATTGATAGCTTGCCTACATAGAGCATTGATGTGATTCCCACGGCTGCTCTCTCATTTAGCTATTTGCACCTAGGGCTGTTGCGGTGAGCATATTACCGCCACACCGGCAGTCATGAGTCATAACCGCAGTCAAATTCCACGTGACCATTGAGTCACCGTAATCTCCTTTTATGTACTCTGGACATGCGTTGGTGTACCCAACTCGCTAACGACCGTCAGGCCGCTAATGCCCTGAGCTCGGTTTACCAAAAGCATCTTAAGGCTATGTTCATGTTAGAACCTTAAGAGCATCGTTAAATCTCCAAGCAGTTTCAAAAAACTATCCTTACTAAAGTTGCTCTTGAAAACGCTCTTTAACGACTGCCTCAGACCACTCGTAGAACCGTTAAGTACGTTGTCAGATGCTTTTTTTGCCCTTCCACGTCACTTTATACACAGAAGATCTATGCTAAGCACAAAATCAAGATGTTTATCTGTCTTTCTGTTACCCTGATAACTTCAGAGACGAATGTAACAGTGACTACAAATACAAAGTTGCCTATTTCTTTGCATAACAAGTGAAGGATATAAATGAAAACGGAGATGACTGTATTAAAAGATAAATACAGTATAGGCTACATAGACCTATATTTTAGAATGATAATGAAATAAATGTCATGTTAATTTAATTGTTTTTTTTAGCTATTTATAGGCTAATGTCAAATTTTTAACATGATGTGTAATGTGCACAATGATGTGCCAAATCTTGATTAAGTGCATTATTATTGATTAAGCATTAGAATAAGCTGCCTCAATATTTGTAGCCATATGTGATATAACTCTAGGAGCTGATCCGTCATCAGTATTGTGGAATAATTATAATGTTAAGGTAAGATTGGAAAGGGAGAACGCTGATCCGAGAGCAGTGCTTCCTTTCTTTCGATCCTTTCGGTATCGACACATGCCTCAACGACGTACTTAGCGAACATTCTCTCTGTGTGGTGTTTTGGGAAACGCATGTTACATCTTCAGCCGTTGTAGCAAAGATGCATAGTTAAAACACTCGTAAGCCTAAATTCCATCGCTATCGGGAAACCGGGTCCTGGTACTCAGCGCTCTATTGTCCTTCTAACCACTCGGACATCAATGCAAATGCAATCGAAACATGACATCAAACACCCACCACTGTGCGTTTCCATCTCCTCCTCCATTCCGTTCTTGAGTGCGCAGAGAGAGGGGCTGTCAACAGTTTAATGAAATATGTTTTGTTGTGAAAACATGTTACTATCGATGTTCCCGAACAGATTTCACTTGGTTTCCCAAATTAAGCACTGGGTAGCTGCAGGAACAGGGTTGGAGAGCCCATGGCATACAGAGTCTGGGCGGAATATCACCACCTGTCGCGCAGCGAGAGACTGCATGCTTCTCAAACAGTGATTGATGCGTGGAGTGAAATAAGTGTTCTTAAAAACCCAGACATTTCTATATGCAATCCCGTGTGAAAGCAGAGTTTTGATGGTTGCCACTTTAAAGAGGAGGATCCCAGCTGATACTATTTTATTTATCAGCTGCTAATATTAAGCAAGGCAAGATTTAATTGAGAAAAGACTGATAGGTGAAAATATGATCACTTGATGAGAAAAAAAGAGTGTGCAGCCTGAGGAAAGGAACCGAGCACAAGCTTTTTTTGCAACTTTTTCAAATCATCAATAGCCTATAGTCGCATCTTGCAGCCCATATATGGTTTTGATTTCTAAGACATTCTAAGGTTTGCATCATTCACAACTAAAGTTGCCAAATAACTCAAACTCTAGCATATAGGACCTGTTTCAAATGATCACTTTTACACTCAACATATCTACTTCATATGAGCGCTCACTCCGGAATGGGAAGAATATTTTTTCTATTTTATTCAGCTAAGTTAAATTATATTCTTATTATTATAAAATCATATAATATAAAATAATGTACAAGATTATAAGCATATCTTGTCTGCGAAATTAACTAGCCTACAGCCTATGGCATGGTGTATACCCAGATAACATGCAGTAGGCCAACTCATATTCTGTTCTTCTGAAATACATTTTCTTCATATCATAATGTTTCTTTAGACCTGCCTAAAATAAATAATGGATTTATTGTGATTGTGTATATTAAATTGATTTATTAGACTTTTTTCAATGTAGATGTTCCAAAGATGTGCATCAGCGGCTTGTATGCGAATTAATGGTCAATCAGTGGTGGAAAAAGTACCCAATTTTCATACTTGAGTAAAAGTAAAGATATCGTAATAGAAAATGACTCAAGTAAAAGTGAAAGTCACCCAGTAAAATCCTACTTGAGTAAAAGTCTAAAAGTATTTGGTTTTAAATATACTTAAGTATCAAAAGTAAATGTAATTTCTAAAATATACTTAAGTATCAAAAGTAAAAGTATAAATAATTACAAATTCCTTATATTAAGCAAACCAAAAGGCACCATTTTCTAGTTTTTTTAGATAGCTAGGGGCACGCTCCAACACTCAGACATAATTTATAAACGAAGCAGGTGTTTGAGTGAGTCTGCCAGATCAGAGGCAGTTGGAATGACCAGGTATGTTCTCTTGATAAGTGTGTGAATTAGACAATTTTCCTGTTCTGCTAAGCATTCAAAATGTAACGAGTACTTTTGGGTGTCAGGGAAAATGTATGGAGTAAAAAGTACATAATTTTCTTTAGGAATGTAGCGAAATAATAGTAAAAGTTGTCAAAAAAAATAATAGTAAAGTACAGATACCCAATCATTGTTTTTGCGACCAGGGGTGTATTCATTACGGAAACCGTTTAAGAATCAATTGGAAGCAAACAGAGCAAAACAAGAGTTTCTATTGGACAAATTCAGGTAGATCCGTTCCCGTTTTGTTCCGTTTGCTTCCATTTAAGAAACGTTTTGGAACAGAATCAGCGTAATGAATATGCTCCCAGTGGACAGCCAGTGAAAATGCGCTCTTGCAACAGCTGCATAGTGCAGATTCTAGCCTATGGAATAAAAGTTTGAGTTCCTCGCTTCTACTCCACTGTGGTATTGTGCTCAATACTGTCAAAACGAGTTTAATTTAAAAAGAACACGAGTGAGGCTTTTATTTTCTTCATGGAAAATTACCATCTATACTGAACAAAAATATAAACGCAACATGCAAAAATGTAAACAATTTTACGGCATTACAGTTCATATAAGGAAATCAGTCAATTTAAATGAATTCATTAGGACCTAATCTATGGATTTCACATAACTGGGCAGGGGCACAGCCATGGGTGGGCCTGGGAGGGCATAGGCATACCCACTTGGGAGCCAGACCCACCCACTGGGGAGCCAGGCCCAGCCAATCAGAATGAGTTCTCCCCCCACAAAAGGGCTTTAATTACAGAGAAATACTCAGTTTCAGCAGCTGTCTGGGTGGCTGGTCTCAGACGATCCCGCAGGTGAAGAAGCCGGATGTGGAGATCCTGGGCTGGCGTGGTTACACGTGGTCTGCGGTTGTGAGGCCGGTTGGACATACTGCCAAATTCTCTAAAACGACGTTGGAGGAGGCTTATGGTAGAGAAATTAACATTAAATTCTCTGGCAACAGCTCTGGTGGACATTCCTGCAGTCACAGCATGCCAATTGCACGCTCCCTCAAAACTTGAGACATCTGTGGCATTGTGTTGTGTGACTAAACTGCACATTTTAGAGTGTCCTTTTATTGTGCACCTGTGTAATGATCATGCTGTTTAATCAGCTTCTTGATATTCCACACCTGTCAGGTGGATGGATTATCTTGGCAAAGGAGAAATGCTCACTAACAGGGATTTAAACAAACGTGTGCACAAAATTTGAGAGAAATAAGCTTTTTGTGCATATGGAACATTTCTGGGATCTTTTATTTCAGCTCATGAAACATAGGACCAACACTTTACATGTTGCATTTATATTTTTGTTTAGTATAGTTTTTCACATGCAAATAGCTCAAAGCATGCCATTCTCAGAGCAGCATTTACCTTTCAACTACAAGCAATGAGCCCCAATCAGTCCTCCATGACAACAAAATCCTAGGCTAATTAGTCCTTAGTTTTGGGGTTATGCTCAGGTAAAACAATTTGGCTAATCTATATTTCCAAGTCCTATTCTTGAAGATCAAGGGGTATTAAATTAATTGGAATGACAGACTGTTTTCTTTTATTTTTATGTAAAGATATAGCCTAATCGTATTATTATCTGAGGTAGAAAGCAATGGGTTAGAAGAAGCCTACATAACCAACACATAAAGTAAAATGCAACATCCATTTATGGCTGGCTATGTAAACTCTAACATTGACTTATCCTGCAATAGAGGTCGTTCAATTGGTAATATTCATTTTTGTCCTCTTTCAATGCCTCTTAAGTAGGTTGACGTTTATTGGGATGAGTCTTGTCCTTGAGGCAGAACTGATCGATTTCCTCTAGATGGGCCAGCTGCAAAGTCAAAATTGTCTATATTGTAAAAATGTATGATTTCTTTAAGGTTAGGATTAGGCATTAGGGTTAGCAGTGTGGTTAGGGTTAGGTTTAAAATCAGATTGTATTACTTTTTGGCTATGCCAGCTACTAACATGTGCCTCTTAAGGGGAAAGTCATCTAAAAGTAACTGAAAGTATTCAGATTACGTTACAGAGTTTGGGTAACCCAAAAGGTATGTTACTGATCAAAATTTTGGACAGGTAACTAGTAACTGTAACAGATTATATGGTGACCCTGCCTAGCATTGATTTTACATGTGTAAACAATCAACCTTTGCCCCCCTTTTACCTTCCGCAGCTTGTTGACCTTATCGGAGCACACCACCATCTCCTGCTTGAGCAGCCTGTTCTCTTCCGACAGCATGTCCACCATCTGCTGGGCGCGTGCCATCATGGTGAAGGGGTCCCCCTGGGGGTGGGGGTAGTGCTGGGGAGGGTGGCCCTGGGATGACTGGGAGTGGTACTGTTGGTGCTGGAGTTGTTGTTGTTGCTGTTGCTGCTGCTGTTGTTGCTGCTGCTGTTGTTGTTGTTGCTGCTGTTGTTGAAATTGGTGGTGCTGCTGCTGCTGGTGGTGCATCCTGGAGGTGGAGCCGTAGGGGTCGTGTGGGAAGGCGTGGCCCCTCTGAAGTGGAGGGTGAATGGGCCCAGGGCAGTACGGGTCTCCCTGGTGTGATCCAGGGCCCTGGGGGCTGCGGGGGCCCATGGAGGCGTAGGGATCCCCTTGTGGGTGGGGGGGTGTGTGGGAGGGGTGAGAGGCACTGAGGAGACTACTGAGGGTGGAGGACTGGGCTCTGGACAGAGAGCCCACAGAGGTGACAGAGGAGGTGGGGCTGTGGTGATGGACAGATCTCTGGGAGTGGACCGAGCTCTCCTTATTGGATCTGTGGACACGACAGCCAATCAGAGAGGTTAATACTAAGAAAGGAATGTTAGTTTGTTTACCGTATGACTATGTGGGTCTCCAACAGTCCATAGATATAAATTATGATACTATCTTAGTGCTTGTTTTAGTATACAACAAAACATATCACCAGGCAAAACACATACAATGATACTATCCGTTTACTATGGTGATTCACCTGCCATACGCCAACAAGTTTGGGGATTTTCCAACTGACAAAAAACAATTGTGAACCACTTTGGAAATAAGCAAACATTCCTGTGTCTATAAGGGATGTCATCAGAGAGCAAACGATCATGTCGCCACAGGTTTTAGCTGATGATAAAAATTCTGCGGTACTCATCTCTGTTTGCCAGTGATTTACTTTGAGGTAAACGAATAAGCAAGCAGAAGGGAAAACAGGCAGAACAGGATCTCTATCCCTTCTATCCAGACAACTGTTTCTGTGTGTGTGTGTCTCTCTCTGTGTGTCTCTCTCGCTCTGTGTGTGTGTGTGAACCAACAGGCGGTGGAGACATGCCTTCCTCCTCAGCCTTCCAGCTAATCAATAAACCTGTTCACCTCAACAGACAGCCTGGCAGTCAAGTAGGAAGGCAAGCAGGCAGGCAGGGAGGTAGGCAGGTAGAGAGGCAGGCAGACCGGCAGGTAGGGAGGCAGACAGGGAGGTAGACAGGTAGGAAGGCAGACAGGTAGGTAGGTAGGTAGACAGGTAGGTAGATAGGTAGGTAGGTAGGTAGGTAGGTAGGTAGGTAGGTAGGCAGGTAGGTAGGTAGGCAGACAGGTAGATAGACAGGTAGGTAGGCAGGCAGGCAGGCAGACATGTAGGTAGGCAGACAGGTAGATAGACAGGTAGGTAGACAGGTAGGTAGGCAGGCAGGCAGACAGGTAGGTAGGCAGGCAGGCAGGCAGGCAGGCAGATAGACAGACAGACAGGTAGGCAGACAGGTAGGTAGGTAGGTAGGTAGGCATACAGGTAGGTAGGCAGACAGGTAGGCTGGATGATATATGAAGGACAGGTAAGTCGCCCTCCAGCAGTGTGTGTGTAGGCAATGACCCCAACTATGACTGAAGGTCACAGAGTTCAAGGGTAAAATACTAAATTACCCCTAGGAATGTTAAAGAGAAGGTCTCAATCATGTTGCCTTGTCCAAAAATACTCAAGACTATGGTTGGGCAGTATACTGTATATACCGTATCTCGGGGTGTTTCGAAATACCCTTGGTATGATTTTCCAATACCGTCAATAAATACCTGCAGTCAACTTGTGCACTAGGTAATAGATCAAGCAGATTGCGTTCATCATTTTGCCTGTTAGATAATTTTTCATTATGATGCATACTGGTACTAGTTTCTCAAACAGCTGTTTTAGCCAGTCACGTGTGTTTGTTTACAAAAAAGCACAATGAGCAAAACAGACGCTTTGTGAGGTGAGTCACTCCTGCAGCGGAACTTACAGTGCCTTCAGAAAGTATTCATACCCCTTGACTTATTCCACATTTTGTTGTGTTAAAGTCTAATTTAAAAATGGATTAAAAAAAAATCTTACCCATCTACACACATAATAATGACAAAGTGAAAACATGTTTTTTGAATTTTTTTGCAAATGTATTGTAAATGAAATACAGAAATATTATCATCTTTTACATAAGTATTCACACCCGAGTCAATACTTTGTAGAAGGTCCTTTGGCGGCGATTACAGCTTTGAGTCGTCTTGGGTATGTCTGTATCAGCTTTGCACATCTGGATTTTGGGATTTTCTCCCATTCTTCCTTGCAGATTTTCTCAAGCTCTGGTAAGTTAGATAGGGAGTGGCGGTGAACAGCAATCTTCAAGTCTTTCCACAGATTTTCAATGGGATTCAAGTCTGGGCTTTGGCTGGGCCACTCAAGGACTTTCACATTCTTGTTCTGAAGTTGCTTTGGTTGTATGCTTGGGGTCATTGTCCTGTTGGAACGTAAACCTTCACCCCAGTCTAAGGTCGTTTGCACTCTGAAGCAGGTTCTCATCAAGGATTTTCCTGTATTTGGCTCCATTCATTGTTCCCTCTATCCTTACCAGTCGCCCAGTCCCTGCCGCTGAAATGCATCCCCATAGCATGATGCTGCCACCACCACACTTAGAATTGGTGTTAGATGGTAGAATTGGTGTTAGATGGGTGATGAGCTGTGCCTGTCTCCAGACATTGTATGCAGGCCAAAGAGTTCCATTTTTGTCTCATCAGACCTTTTGCCTTATGATCTCCAAGTCTTTCATGTGCCTTTTTGCAAACTCCAGGCGTGTGGTCATGTGCCTTTTTCTCAGGAGTGGTTTCCATCTGGCCACTCTCCCATAAAGCCCAGATTGGTGAAGTGCTGTAGAGACTGTTGTCCTTCTGGCAGGTTCTCCCATCTCAGTCAAGGAACTCTCTAGTTCTGTCAGAGAGCTCATTGGGTTCTTGGTCACCTCCCTGACCAAGGTCCTTCTTGCCCGGTCGCTCAGTTTGGTAAGATGGCCAGCTCTAGACAGAGTCTGGGTAGTTCCATATTTTTTTCAATGTCCAAATGATGGAGACCACTGTGCTCTTGGAAACTTTCAACACTCTAGAAATTGTTTTATAGCCTTCCCCAGATATATGCCTCATCACAATTCTCTCTATATGGTATAGTTTCTGCTCTGACATGCACTGTCAACTGTGGGACCTTATATAGACAGGTGTGTTTCTTTCTAAATCATGTCCAAACAATTGACTTGGCCACAGGTGGACTCCAATCAAGTTGTAGTGACATCTCAAGGATGATCAAAGGAAATTGGATGCACTTGAACTCAATTTGGAGTGTAATAGCAAAGGGGTGTAAATTAGATATTTCTGTATTTCATTTTCAAAAAATTAGCAAACATTTCTAAAAACATGTTTTCACTTTGTCATTATGGGGTATTGTGTGTAGATGGATGATTATCTTTTACAATTTTGAATTCAGGCTGTAACACAGCAAAATGTGGAATAAGTCAATGGGTATGAATACTTTCTGAAGGCACTGTAAGGTGATGAAGTTACATGAAAATCACTACTAATGTCTGCCAGCTATATATCTTATAATTATTAAGTTAACTATGTAAGATGTGCCAAATAAATTCTCTCCAGCTGGGTTTTGCTAACTTGTTAATGTTAGCTAAGTGGGCTAACGTTAGCTTGACAGATCAAGCTTTTTGGTAACAGCAGCAGAAACAATGCCCTCCTGGATTAAGATCTGCGCTGTGCTGTCTAATATTGGTTTTCTGCGTGCTGCAAACTGCGTTTTGAGATACTTGCGTAACTTTATGAGCTGGGTTGTCTGTCTTAAGGCAGCCGCATACTAGGTTCGGTTTACTCCTAGCAGAAGTCGGCTAGACAAAGCAAACGTCTCTGCCTCGCATACTCCCTTAAAAAGTAATTTGCTTGAAAAACAAGAAAAAAGCGCCAATATGTCTGTCCCTCTTGAGACGCCATAGAACAACATACAATAACACTTCCTCAAAAGTCATAATCAATCTAAGATAAACCAAGAAATCTGTCATTCATTTAGACTTTTTTTCCCCGAGAAGGTCTTAGTCAAGCAATTTTACATCTAACTAAGATGTTTGGTGCAGTATATCAAGTTTTAAAATGTGCATGAAAACGAGTTGTCTGTCGTTGAATGACAAAAAACACTTAATTAAAGAATCCCTACTGTTGACCAAACACAGACGAAGGGGCGTAGACTTCGGCTACCGAACTTCGGCTACCTCAAGAAAAAATTGTTTGTTCGAACAGCCCAAAAAAAACCTGCCAAACACCAAAACGTCACAATTTTGTAATAATATATGAGCAAACTGTTTAGACTGGGAAGCATACAGTAAGCTTTAGTAGTTAATGTTTGCACGCGCTCGTTAGCATTTACCTAGCATTCACTATACAAATTCCTTAGTACTATTTGCATTTCTTTAGCATTCTGGTTTTTTTAAACTTTATTTACGTTAGAAATGTTTTTTTTGCCCCTTGTGTGCACTGCCAGTAATTACCATATATCCCTGGATTGCACAGGCACGGTATGAAGGTATGGAAATCTGGATACCGTCCAATCCTACTCAAGATGCAGCAGGTATGTGAATTGATGAAGCTTTGGACGGCACACCAACAGAGACTTTAAATAAATGCAGTAAATAGACATTCCTTAGCCAGCAGACACGGGGCAGTCGGTCTCTCTAGGGCCATGTTCGGGGAGTGTGTGTGTTTCTCAACTGAGTCAGGAGTGCGTGATTCAACTGAACAAGACAATGGTATTAGATTTCTTTAGCTAAGTTCTGGTAGTCACATCAACAACATGAAATTAAAGTTTGATACTACAGTAACAGTGCTCAGACAGACAGGATGTTCCCTCGGACAGTCAGACACACAGTGAGTCAGTACGGGGGGCGGTGTGTTTATCTTACTCACCTGAAGGAGCCGTACTCTGGCGGAGGCTGGTAGCGGACGTGTGGCACCTCGTTCCTGCCCTGCTCCCTGGGCCGATGTTCCTGGTAATAGTGCCCACCTTGCTCCTGATGCTGCGGCTGCTGTTTGGAAGGGGAGCCCATGTTCTTGAAGGGGTAGTCAGGTGGGGGGCCCCGGTGCTGGCCCGAAGGCTTGTAGTAGTCCCCCGGGGGACCGGGAGGGGGAAGCTGGGGGGAAAGGGGGGCGCTGGTGATGGGGGCGTGGGCCTTGACCCCGCTGGTGGCCAGCGAGAGCTGCATGAGGCGCTCGGAGAGGGAACGCACGTGGCCCTGCTTCAGGTCCTTGAGCCCGTCGTCCTGATGCACTTTGCCCCCGGTGCTAAGCCGCTGCACCGTGGGACGCCCCTCTGTACGCACCTTGCCGTTGTTGGTTGCGGCCGTCACGTAAAATGCCGCGCCCACCGACGGAGGCAACTGTTGTTGTTGTTGATGTTGGTGTTGTTGATGTTGCTGTTGCTGGTGGTGCGGGTGGCCCCGGAAATACTGTGACTGCACCTTGGCCTCCTCGTAGGTGGGTAAGTCCTCAGGGTTGGGACCCTGGCCGCTCCCTCCTGCACCACCACTCATTCCTCCTCCTCCACTACTACCCCCACCGCGGGAGCCCAGCTTCTCCATGCCACTGTCTGCCTGCAGCTCCTGTCCCTGAGGCTCCTGTCGGGCGATGTGGGGCACCATAGAGTCGTGCCGGTCGTCGTTGGGGCCTCCCTGGCCCGGGTATCCCCCGCTCACCCCTCCCTCCTGCTGCTGCCTCTGCTGCTGTTGTTGTTGTTGCTTTTGTTGCTGCATGGCCAGCTGGTAGTTGCGTCCCTCACCATAGCGCATCTGCTCCTGTAGGAGTCGCTGTAGGACGGTGTTGCTGCTGCCGCTGCTGCTGCTGGACGTTTCGTCGGCCACCGGCCTCATCTCAGCTTCCCGAAGACCACGCACCTCATGGAAGGATGAGCTGCGCCCGCGATCGATGTTCCCTGGGAGAGGGTAGGGTGGAACGAAGGAGGGTGGGTGAGGTGAGGAGGGGGATGAGTCGAAGAAGGGATTGAAGAGAGGGGTTGAGATGGAGAGAGGGTGAAAACAGGGAGATAGGTGATGGGGGAGAGAGGCGTTAGGGTAGGCAGGTGGGGAGAGATGGAGAGGGGGGAAAGAAGGGAGAAATGTGGGGGGAGAGAGAGAGAGAGGAGACAAAGTCAGAGAACACACAAGCCCTTTACCAACCACCCCCAACACTCATCATGAGAGTCATAGCTGAGCATACTGAACACTAGACATGAGTGATGTTAAGGTGAAATACAGAATGGAGATGAAAACAATGAAAGGAACTGAACCACCACTATCCTCTGAGAAACCTCAAACCAAAACTCTTAACACTTTGACAGCTGGGTAGCATTGGAGGGTATATCATCGGGGCCAAATTTGGTGCTTACAAGTATCGGTTTCCAAGGCCTTTTGGAGCCAAATGACAAATATGACTATATGACACCATCGTCAGCAGAAATACTGACTTATAGTCAGGCCAAATTGATGGTCACCCAAATCAACCGATTAGATGGTACTAAATCCCAGAGTCAGAGCGTTTAGGACCACCCAGGTGCGTATACTGTAACCCCACTCCCCTTGTGCAGGACAGGAGAGAACATCTGATTATTACTGTCAACATGCAGTGTGCACTACTATTGTCTAAATGAATCATGACCATTTTTATACACCCAACTATTTTTATCATTACCCAGCAGATAATTTGCAGAAAGCAAAACCGTTGATTCGAAAATCAAAACTCTTTTATCCCAAGCTAGGCATTGTGATTGGTAGACATATGACAATCATACAGTAGGGGAAGGCAAATGGGTTTTAGTAAAAACATACAAAGTCAAAGTAGAAACCACCCAGGGCATGTTAGCTGTGAATTAGATAACATGCCCGCAGGTCTAAATCAAACACACTCATTTCCGGAGAGTTAAAATTTACGCTTTAACTACATCCAGTAAAAAGCCACAAGCAAGCGTTACGCTTAAAGGGCTTCACTAGATGAAGGAGTTCTTTTGAAACTGACTTCGTCAATGTTTTTTGGGGGGATTTCAAACTGGGTTCTATGGAGTGGTTTCCACTGACAACCTTGAATGCCATTAAAGAGATCTAGTGGTTAAAGAGGCACCATCTACAAAGTAATGAAGAAGGTGAAATTATTACATCTATTGCTTTCTGATATTCTTCTCATTCTCAAGGAGGATGAAGCTTTTTTCCGAAACATCTGTGGTAAATAAATATATATAAAAAAGTCAGCTTTGGGTCTGTCCGCTCGTGGGGCTCTCTTCCAAGTCGAAGAAGGAAAAGAGAGAAAAAAAATGAATATCACAATGGTAGTATACTCTCCTCAACATACTTCGACTGCTATTTCCTGCCGCTCTTCCCCCAAATCTTCTCCTTTCTTTGACTCCCCCTCTTCAGAACCAACTAGTACCAACCAGGACAATGGACAAATGGAGGATGGAACAGAAACAAAACAAAACACACAACTGAAAATAAATGTGGAGAGAAATGGAGGATCCACTGGTATGACATGGCGAGACACAGTGATTTATGGCTTGTTTAAAGGTTGCTGCCTGCCTGCCTGCCTGCGTCCTGTATACACACAGAGAAAGCAGGGAATCTGACACAGGCAGGCAGGCAGCACACTGGACCCCGAGCAGGCGGGGGCGTTTCTTAACTCATTTTACTTTCACATAGTAGTCTCTACTCTGACTTATGCTACATTATGAAATAACATTGGCATTCAGAATCGTCTACTTCTACTCAATCAAATTCAATAAATGGTCAAACTACTACTGTGCCAGCAGAATTGTTAGGTTGCTTGAAATCAAAACTCAGTCATACTGTACTGGCTCGTTTAAAATCTGCTCGTTAACTTTTCCTCTACCCCCCCACCTCTGTGATTTCATAACCCCTTCTCCACCTAGACTTATCCTACTCTCTCCCCCTGGTCACCTACCTGTGTGGCTGCTCTCACTGGGCTCTACTGCTCATGCTGCTGCTGGGGGGACAGGTACCGAGATGGGGGTCTCCTCCTCGTCCGGTAGCGTCACCAGTTCCTCCAGGCGCTCCAACGCGTAGAGGCGCTGGTCCACGTCGCTTAGCCCCAGCCACTCTGCAACAGGAAAAGCCACTCTCAACCAACCAGCCTCAACAATGGGGGTGGGGTCCGGTATGCACGGCCGCAGGAGCCGCACAGGGGAGGAGGAGGGGCGGGGGTTTTGGGAATGTAAAATAGGGGACACTTTCAGTGAAGTAGTTTCCTCCTCTGGTTCGACCGTGAGCTGTCTGGGAAGGTTATGGGAAGTAGGGTTGTGTGTGTTCAGTGTTGTGTTTGTGTGTTTGTTTTCAGTGTGTGTGTGTCCACGTGCACCTGTGTGTGTGTGTGTGTGTGTGTGTGTGTGTCGGCCTTTCACTGGAATCAAACACAGGATGTGAGGATGTGCAGGGTTCAATCAGAACAGAGAGAGAGTGGAGATCTGAGCTGCTCTTGACAAAACAAGACAACTCCCATCTCTGTGTGAACCAGAGGTGATTTTCTGGACACAATCTTTTGTGGCGACGTTACCCAACATTGGTGTTATTGTGAAACCAGAGGGTGGACTCGGCATACTCAGCAACAGAGAGCCAGTTACAGCTAAAACAAGAGTTAAAGTGTTTGGAACAACAACTTTGAAAGAAAATGTCAGATTAAATGTTCTTCACTCTCTGTCAACAGACGTTTGGAAGTGGGTGAAATCCCAGGGAGATAGTGGAATCCATTTCTGTTGCTGTTTGACTGACTCGGTAGCCACAGCGCACGCACACACGCACATACATAAATACACACGCACACACCGGCACGCACACCGCCCTTCCTCTAACACAGCGAGAGCAATCAGAACTGATAAAGCCAGATTTGGATTCTCAAAACACACACACACCCACGAAGACACATACAGTACATACACTTGCAAAAACACATACATTCACGTGAAAACAAATGTAGACACACAATCACACTCTTGATAGGATAGTATGAGTAAGACAATCAGTATCACAACCCTCCCCTCTGAAAAATTACTTCCAGATGGTCCCTTCATACTCTCTCCCCTCCTGACGCTCAAATTGTAAGTTCCTTGACTGTTTCAGATAAACAGTTTATTCCATAGCCAGAGCTGGCCACAGTGGATTCAGGGAATCTGGCATTCCGGTCGCTCCTCAGATAGGTTTCCCTGTAAGTGGTCCCAGTGGCTTTCACCTCTGTGTGTGTGTGTGTGTGTGTGTGTGTGTGTGTGTGTGTGTGTGTGTGTGTGTGTGTGTGTGTGTGTGTGTGTGTGTGTGTGTGTGTGTGTGTGTGTGTGTGTGTGTGTGTGTGTGTGTGTGTGTGTGTGTGTGTGTGTGTGTGTGTGTGTGCGTGTGCGCGTGCGTGTGCGCGTGTGTGTGCGCGTGTGTGTGCTTGTGTGGATCTGTGGGTTATGTCAGCCAGCATACCTGAGCTAGCCTGGGTTTCAGCAGCACAGACAGAGCACAGCCATGACATTCACCTCAACACCCACACGGTTTGAAATTCCACTGTCACGATTTGAGCAATAACATTCAATTTCATTGCTCACATCCATCCACCTTGTTTGAAATACCACTGCCATGATGTATCTCAACTGCAACTTCACACAAAGTATTAAAAAGGATCACATACCAAGGGAGCAGTAGGCTACAATGAAATAACATGAGATATTCCACAGAACCAAAACAATGCCAAGAGATCCAGCCTGCTGTATTCAATCCAATTTTTCCCACAGAGCAGCTCAGTAAAGCAGTCACACACTGCTCTCAGCTTGTACCTTCGTTCTGCAAAGAGCTACCACGGCACACCTCTCTCGCTCTCCTTCCTTCCCTCCCTCCCCCTCGTTCCAGCAAGTGGGGCTGGGACCGGGAGGACAGGTGAATCTGGAGGCCCTCCAGAATCTCGTCACACCCTCATACCTGAGCGCTGGCGTAACTGTTCCTTTACCATTACCCTGCCAGCCACCTGCTACTTCACCACACACTTCCTCTTTAGAGAGGGCCTGCCCTCACAGGTTCAGGTTCCCGCTGGTCCTAGATCAGTGAGTCAGGGGCAGACAGGCCCACACAGTTGGAAGGGGTGGAAAAGCTGTATCAGTCTCTCTACAAAAACCCTAAAGGGAGAGGGAAGAGAGGGAGGGAGGGAAAGAGACAGACAGAAAAAGAGAGTTTGAGTGTGAAAGAGAGAGAAAAAGAGTGCGCGGGTTTGCGTGTAAGAGAGAAAGAGAAAGAAAGACAACAGAACTCCCTTCCTCCCCCTCTCTGAGAGATCCATTGAATTAAAATGGCATCAATCATAGGTAGCCAGCCATGTTCTCAGCCCTAAAGGCTTATGACCAGTGTCGCCTCAGTGAAACATACAGGTAACTGTCAAAATGAAAGGAACACCAACATAAAGTGTCTTAATAGGGCATTGGGCCACCATGAGCCAGAACAGCTTCAGTGCACCTTGACATAGATTCTACAAGTGTCTGGAACTCTATTGGAGGGACACGACACCATTCATCCACGAGAAACTCCATAATTTGTTTTTTTTGTTGATGGTAGTGGAAAACGCTGTCTCTGGCGCCGCTCCAGAATCTCCCATAAGTGTTAAATTGTGTTAAGATCTGGTGACTGAGACGGCCATGGCATACATCGTTTTCATGCTCATCAAACCATTCAGTGACCACTGGTGCCCTTTGGATGGGGGCATTGTCATCCTATAGTCATGGTAGTCTAAATAAAGGCCTGCCCAGCATTTTTATACATGACACTAAGCATGATGGGATGGTAATTGCTTAATTAACTCAGGAACCACACCTGTGAACAAAATTATAAACACAACATGCAACAATTTCAAAGATTCTACTGAGTTACAGTTCTTATAAGGAAATCAGTCAATTGAAATAAATTCATTAGAACCTAATCTATGGATTTCACATGACTGGGAATACAGATATGCATCTGTTGGTCACAGATACCTTAAAAAAAACAGTAGGGGTGTGGATCAGAAAACCACAGTATCTGGTGTGACCACCATTTGCCTCATGCAGCGCGACATATCTCCTTCTCATAGAGTTGATCAGGTTGTTGATTGTGGCCTGTGGAATGTTGTCCCACTCCTCTTCAATGGCTGTGCGAAGTTGCTGGATATTGGCGGGAACTGGAACACGCTGTCGTACACGTCGATCCAGAGCATCGCAAACATGCTCAATGGGTGACATGTCTGATGAGTATGCAGGCCATGGAAGAACTGGTATATTTTCAGGTTCCAGGAACTGTGTACAGATCCTTGCCACATGGGGCCATACATTATCATGCTGAAACATGACGTGATGGCAGTGGATGAATGCCATTGATAAAATGCAATTGTGTTCATTGTCTGTAGCTTATGCCTGTCCATACCATAACCCCACCACCACTATGGGGTAAACTGTTCACAATGTTGACATCAGCAAACATCACCCCCCCCCCCCTCCCTCCCTCCCTCCCTCCCTCCGTGGCAGGAGAGAGTATGAAGCCCACTCTCCCTTGGTGTCCATTATTCTGGGTCTGGCCTGCAAACATCAGCAAACCGCCATACACGTGGTCTGCGGTTGTAAGGCCAGTTGGATGTACAGCCAAATTCTCTAAAACGACGTTGGAGGCGGCTTTTGGTAGAGAAATGAACAATTCTCTGGCAACAGCTCTGGTGGACATTCCTGCAGTCAGCATGCCAATTGCATGCTCCCTTAAAACTTGAGACATCTGTGGCATTGTGTTGTGTGACAAAACTGCACATTTTAGAGTGGCCTTTTATTATCCCCAGCACAAGGTGCACCTGTGTAATGATCATTCTGTTTAATCAGCTTCTTGATTTGCCACACCTGTCAGGTGGATGAATTATCTTGGCAAAGGAGAAATACTCACTAACAGGGATATAAACAAATTTGTTCACAAAATTTGAGAGAAATAAGCTTTTTGTGCGTATGGAACATTTCTGGGATCTTTTAGTTCATCTCATGGAACATGGGACCAACACTTTACATGTTGCGTTTATATTTTGTTCAGTGTACTTTGTATCCCTCGTTTACTCAGTGTTTCCATTATTTTGGCAGTTACCTGTATCTTATCTGTGTAGAGAGACACTGTTTCAAACTCTGCTCCCAGCTTCAGCCAGCGATTAACCGGGAGCTTTGAGATGCAATGATATACAGTAGTAGCTAGCTATATCTATTATGAGATGCTCTTTCATATTTTAATGGAGCCAGAGGTTGCACTGTCTTATGTAAATATTTGCCTTCCATGTGCAAGTTTCCCAGCGCCCCCGCACACGGCCTGTTTATTCTTGTAAAACGCCAGAGCGGGGTTAACAGCAGAGGGGGGGGGAAGAGTTTCACAGGAAAGCGAGGAAGAACAAGAAATTAAGAGTGCGATAGTTGGGTAGAGAAAGAGAGCGAGAGAGAACGAGAAAGAGAGCGAGAGAGAAAGACAGAGAGAGAGACAGACAGAAGAGAGATGGCCCCTGACTAACATCCCCTGACGTTAAGGTTGACGTTTGACCTCATCAGGAGACATACTGCAGGATATACACACTGGGTCCTGACAGCACCACACACACACACACACACACACACATTCTTTCCTATACACACACACACAGGGGTCCTGGGAGCACATCATACACCCCACCACGGACACACACACCCCACCACGGACACACACACCCCACCACGGACACACACACCCCACCACGGACACACACACCCCACCACGGACATACACACCCCACCACGGACACACACACACACGTTTTCCCTGGAGGGTGATACTACAGGTTACATATGGGGTCCTGAGAACCCATCACCCACCACTAAGTACAAACACACACACTAGGTTTTCCTCAGGGGAATCATGAATAGGGGCAGTAGGTTAGATTAAGATGATTTACTGTCTATTCATACCAGGAATAGAGCCAGAGGCAGACATGGGTTCAAATACTATTTGAACTCTTTCAAATACTTCTGGCGTTTGATTTAGCCTGCCTGGACTGCCATGCAAGCAGGGTTTGCACCTTTAGGACTTTTCCATTGGTTTCACTGCAACAGACAAGCTCAATCAACCAGCCAAAGTATTTGAAAATAAGTAAAATAGTTATTAAACCCAGCTCTGCCTAGGGTTGGGGGGCTGGGAGACCAGGATGGTACGCACACACTTAACCCGTCACTTCCCTGAGTCTCATAAGAGTCCCAGTCACTTTTTCTCTGAGGTGACTCCCACA